CCCGTGATTTTTTTTTTCAGGATAGGGTCTCATGAACTTTTTTCTCATGAACCCAGGCTGGCTTTGAATCACAGTCCTCCTGATCTCTGCCTCCTGAGTAGCTGGGATTACAGACATGGGCCACCTGCACCTGGCTCAAACCTTCTCTTAATATAAACTTTAAGTTTATTTTCAGTCCTATTCACTACTTCCGTGTCTGCTCCCTGCCGCCCCCTGGTGGCTCTGCTCTCTCACTGCGATCCATAGAGGGGGTGGGGGTTGGAGGGCAGGGAACCACAGTGAGCAAGTTCAAGCAGGCACATGAAAGATGGTCGAATGAGATGCACGTGGAGGGATGGAAGGCAGCCTGAGCAAAGATGAAGTCCAGCCAGGCACCTGTGGCTCAAGCCTGTAACCCCAGCTATTCAGGAAGCAGTGATCAGGAGGATTGAAATTCAAAGCCAGCCCCCAGCAAATAGTTCACAAGACCCTATCTCAAAAAAACCCATCACAAAAAAGGGCTGGCAGAGTGACTCAAGTGGTAAGACTGCCTGCCTAGCAATCGTGAAGCCCTGAGTTCAAACCCCAGAGCCACCAAAAAAAAAAGAGCTTACCTTAGTTGAGGAGTGACAATGGGTTTCCCTTGTTGGCTGCTTCTTTGGCACAGGGCCCAGATGGCCTTCAGCTAGGCTACTGAAGCACGTGAGTTGTGGAAGAGCTGCTCTGTCCCACCCTGAGGTTCAGAGGGCAGTGGGCACTTAGAGGAAAAGCCACAGGTGGAAAGAAAGTGGCCATCAGAGCCCCTGGAGGCCTGGTTCCTGTTACTAAGCAAGGCCTATCTGGGACCCCTGTGGGCACTCTCCCACACAAGCAGGTGCTAGCCCCACTCTCCCAGGGTCCCTGTAAGTCCCAAGATCCCTGAGAATTCCAGAACAGACCCAAAACCTCTCTCAAAACCATCCCTGAGCACCAGGTCAACAGTCTCTGAGATCTGAGAGCTCCATCTCAGAGTGGGGCTTAGAGGTATGTTTTCAATCCAGCTCAGATTCATAGCCAAGAGTTCCAGCCCTGATTCACTATCTTGAGTTGAATGTGAAGGTTTCCAGAAATACTGCTTTTTTTCTTAGCCTAGCGGGCTTGTTAATATCCACCATCGCCGGGCACCGATGGCTCACATCTACAATCCCAGCTACTCAGGAGGCAGAGATCAGGAGGATCATGGTTCAAGGCCAGCCTGGGCAAATAGTTCTAGAGGCCCCATCTCAAAAATACCCCACACAAAAAGACTGGCAGAGTGGCTTAAGTGGTACAGCACTTGCCTAGCAAGTGTGAGGCCCTGTATTCAAACCCCAGTACTGAAAAAAAAAAAAATCTACTAGAGTCTTGACCTGCTTGTACACCCACCCAGAACCCAGCCTTCCACCCAGGGACCTCAAACAGGACTGGCAATTGCTCCAATCTGTAACAGCTGACCATAAAGTGAAGAAGGCCTACTATGGATCAGAAGAGTTGACTAGTGTCCGGACTGGATTATGTCCCTGCTAAAGAAAAAGCATCCCAGCACCTGTTAAAGGCATCAAGGCAGACTGCTGGAGAGACACCACCACAATGGCGCTCAGCTCCAAACACAGCAAGTACCTCGGGGATTTACAACCAAGGAGCAGGGGCAGCAGTGTGGGACGTGACTCGACTCGGAGGAGCCCTTGGGCTAAACTGGCTAGACAGATACCTGATAAAGACAGGCCGGGCTGATTGCTGACTCTGCAGGGTTGGGGAGGATGAATCTGAACAGCTATTGAGGTGATCAGATTCCAAGGGGGACTCTCTAATCTGATTCAGCAGTACTCTGGCTAAAACCGGACTAAGTGGACCAATAACACAGCTCAAGATCAAGGCCAAGTCAAGAACCCACAAAAGCCTGACCCCAGTGTGGTCCAGGAGTTTCTGTCTCTGCCCCCCACCCCCAATACGTGTGTTGAAGTGCTAATGCTAGTAACTCAGAATGTCACTACATTTGGAAACAGTCTTTGAAGATGTGATTAAGGTAAAATAAGATCTCCAGGAAGGGCCCTATTCCAATCTGACTGTCTGTAAGAGGAGGGGGATCAGGCTGGGAGTGGTGGTGCATCCCTGTAATATTTGGGAGGCTGAGGGAGGAGGATCTTGAGTTTAAGGCCAGCCTGAGCTACACAGCAAGACTGTCTCAAAAACAAACAAGAAAAACAAAGAAGAGGAGGAGAAGAGGAGACCAGGACACAGACACACAGGGAGGAGGTGCTAGCTGTAAGCCAAGAGAGAGGCCCCTGTCCACACCTCCAGCCCTCCAGAATTGCTGTCTATAATTTAAGCCCCTGGCCTGTCCTTGTCAGGACAATGCTAGGACCTCATGGTGGGCAACGGGCTCCAGAGGCTTTCGCAGCCAGGAACAGCTTGGGCCAGCCTGGACCGGCTGGTTTGTTCCCACACGCACCTGCTGTTTGCTAGTCAGCGACATTCAAGGCTGTTGTGGGAAATCCTTGTTCCAGGCACTGGATGAGGGAGACAAACTTCCACCCCCACAGACAGACAGACAAGAACAAGCAAATGTCTGACACCTCATGGACTGCAGCTCAGATGAGCTAAAGAAAGTGGGGTGAAGGCTGTAGAGTGACGGGTGCTCCCTCAAGGCAGTGGGCCCTGAGGACCAAGTGACATGCTTTATCGTTTTTAAAATGACAAGTGGACACAATTACAAAATGAAGCATGCCTACTGCAAGCAGTAGGGGGCAGTGAAGGTGCAGAAAGGTCCAGCAGAAGCCTGTCCCAGCCTCCTCGACACCCGTCCATAACAGACAGGGTCCTTCTGCACTTCCCTCCCACGCACGCCACAGAACAGAATTCTCGTGGTTTCTAACAGAGCTGACCCTCGCTGACAGGGGACCCCAGCCACTCACACAGACTGAGTGCAGGGGATTCAAGAAGGCCAGGACTCTAGGGGCTGAGGTCCCAGAGAGGAGCAGAGGCTGAACTGGAGGAAAATGATGGAGATGCAGGGAGGTCAGCAGCCCCGGAGGGGAGCTGGAGCAAGCCTGCCAGAGAGGCCAGAACTCACCATCCTTGCTATTGTAAGGGGCGCTAGGCCCATGAATTAACTAAACACAGGGGAAAATGTTGACACCCCTGTCTCCAATTTGTACCTGTTCTTTGCTCTGAGCCATTCTCTCCTGCAGCCACGCTGGAATCAAGGAAGGACAGGAATGATTGATAACGTCTTCATGACAAGGGACTGAAACTTTCCACAAGGAACAGTGGAACCTTACAGAACAGGCCACCCCCCAAATGAGGACAGTTACCTATAACGATGAAGCTGCACCCTGGATCAGGAGCAGTCATGTCATGGCAACCAAATGGCTCCCCTCAAGTGATGACAGCAGTGATGACAGTTGTGACAATTTCTGCAGAACCCTCAAGGAACAAGAACCGAGATGATGACCAACCAGGCCACACCTGTGACTGTGCACACCTTTGTCCCTGCCTTAGTTCTTTGTCTACTTAAACCTACAGCTCATGTCTGTACCCCAAAGATGGCTGAAGATGCTGAGTGCTTCCTCTGCCTCTTCCCACAGCGTGTGCCGGGCCCTGTAATAGATCTCCTTTCTCTGCCTTCGCCATGTCTCTTTATTCGGCATATATAGGCAACTGGCTGGACCTGACACATGGAAGCCCAGGAGTTTGGTCCTGAGGTCCAAAACTCCTGTTTCATTAGCTCCTCTGGCTACGGCTCCCAGCAGGGCCCTCCCTAGGTGGAGACAGGGACACAAGCCACCAGACCAAGTCAGGACATGTGTCCAGATCTGCATCCCATGCAGGCAGGTCCTGCAGCTGCTCTCCTCCCTCCCGGGGTCTCTGAGCCCCACTTGGGCATCCCGCCACGGGGTCCTCATGAGTGGGAACGTTATAAGGACTCCACCGTGTCCTCTGCCCTGGGGAACTAGGCAAGGCCCATCCCCAGCTCTATACTCAATGGGGACAGACAGACGGACTAGGGGAGAGGTGCAGGCAGCATCTTTCTGGCTACAGTAGACGCCGCGAGTGAGATGAGTGAGACACAGCTTTGTCCCGTTGCCCCTACCAAGAGGGTATGCTGCTCTGGCAGGGCAGTCCTTCCCCTTCCCCTGCCTGTCCTCTGCCCTCTGCCCTCTGCCCTCTGCCCAGACCCTGTCCCAGCTCCTCCTCTCCTCCAAGGGTCTGGAAGATCCAGCCAGACCTCAAAGCCCTGAAAAAATACTCAATCTACAGAACTGAAGGATGAGAGAGGGAAGGAGGGGTGACACCGGAGTTGAGAACACCAGGGTGAGCAGCCAGACTCATGACACAGCAAGGAAAGGAATTTTTTTCTTTCTTTCTTCTCTTTGCAGCCAAGGCAAGCCTCAAACTCTCAATTCTCCTGCCTCAGAGTCACAAGTGTTGGGATTACAGGTGTGTGCCTGGCAAGGGAAGGAAATTCTAACCCAAGAGAACAGCCCATGCAAAGGCCCTGGGGTTAGATAGAGCTTGGCTATTTGAAGAAGCCAAGCTGGAGGGAAGGGGCACCATGAGGGGGACTCAGGCAGGGGTGGAGATGAGACCAGGCCACACAGGTCTCTGGGGGCCGCAGCAAGGGCCTGGACTTTGTTCCAGGGGCACAGAGCACCGTTCACATATGAGAGTCCCTCTTCCTGTGACAGTGAATACTTCCCGGCGAGCACAGTCTAGCTTGACATGCTAGGGGTACAGACCTTGAAACAAAAACCCAGTGCAGAGCATCTCTCAGTACTACAGAAGTGATTTTAATTTCAAGACATATGATGGCTGGGTTTGTCTGCCAGCCAAGCACTGACAACACTTGGAACTCTTGGTCCTAACCCGGCCCAGCTGCCAGGGTAAGGGAACATGTCCCTTGGGTCCTCAGAACAGAGTCACCATGGGTGTGAGGTGACTAGCACCGCTATGGTCCACCCACGTGGAGACGGGGAGTTGGCTCTGGGCTGTCCCATCCAGGGTCAGGAGGAGAAGGGCGGTGCTTCGGCCAGCGGACGAGTCACGTTCTGGATGGCCCACTGAAGGATGCCATCGAAGGAGTGCTGCAAGAGACGACATCGGCCAGGGCCTCCAGGGAGACAGTGCCCATCTTGCACACATCCACAGGACTGTGAGCTGACCGATGTGAGGGCACCTCTCCACCTGACCCTCGAGTTCAAAGGTGGGGAACTGGGGCCCAAGGCGCCATAGGACACGCCAGTCAGGGGATGATTCCTTCTGTGGTTTTTGTTTGGGATTTTTTTTTTTTTTTTGGCAGTACTGGGGCTTAACTCAGGGCCTCACACTTGCTAGCTCTACCACTTAAGCCACTCCACCAGCCCATGGGAGGACTCCTTGTCCAGTGTTCCTTCATAGTGTCCTGTAAGCCCCAGTACAGCCACCACAGCTGTTCTGCTTCTTGGTGGCTTCTTTCCTGGTGGTTAGTCAGGGCCAGCTCCTTCTGCTCAGGACCTGACACTCCAATAGGATTGGGTAGTCCTGGGGAGATCCCTCATTTCTCCAAATAGCTGCCCCCTCCCAGAGCAATGACACATCTGTACTGTCCCGGATCTGCCCATGATATAGTCAGTTGGGCCCCTGAAGTGCCATGTGAACACTGAGGAGGGACACACTGGCTACCTGGGGTATGGGAATGGCTGGAAGAGTTTGTCTTCTATCAAAAGATGGGGCCCCTGAAAGCCACACTTCCTCCTGGCAAGTCCACCTGTCCATCTTGAGGTTCACAGTCTGAGTCGGGAGGGGCAAGTGAAAGGTCCTTGAGGGACAAGGGGTACAGGGACTTCCCCACTCCTCAGAGAAAGTCGTGGTCTTGAGCTCCCCTGGTTCTGTGAGCAGCCAGCCTCCTGCAACCAGGCCCTTAGAACTGGGGAGGGGGAGCTGCTAAGAGGGGGGCTGTTCATCTCACCTCTAGCCCGGCGCCCCCGTGTGGAGCAGCTGTGGGAGCAGTGATGGCACTGGTCCCCATACCTGCAAGGTTCAGTGTGCCCCAAATGTGCCTGACTGCAAGCTGGCATGGGGCAATGGGGGCGCAGAGCGCATAGATCCAGGCCCAATGACACATTACCTCACTCAGGAGGGACTCCAGGTCATCCCTGTGCAGAACGGGCTCATGGCCAGTAGAGTCATCCCCCACCTGGAACCCAGAAGGGAAGCTACTCAACCCCAAAGCCACTGGAGACAGAGAGGTAGGACTCCCCACAAAGGCAGAACCCAGACTCTGACACCCAGCTCCTCAGGCAGTGGCACAGACAGAGCAAGGTGTGAGTGAGCTCAGACTTCCTAACCCCCCTGCCATTGCCTGTGGCTCTCTGGGGAGAGGAGGGGTCTTGGAGAACTATAGGAGGACCACACCATGGACGGAGACCTGAGGCCTCGAGAGGAAGATGCTGGGCCCAGCACCAGCCAGTTGGCCCCCTGTAAGCACTCCAGGTCTCATGGGGGATAAGGCCCCAGCCATCCCCAGGCTCATGGGTTAGGAGGAGGAGAAGACCATGTGGTGAGGAATTGTGTGAAGTTGCTGGGTTTGTGGCTTAAAATTGCCAAGTCCCAGGCCTGAGAGGCAAGGCTGGCCCTGGGTGGCTGAGTGGAGCCATCCTGGGGTCCACCTGATGGGAGGGGCCCACAAAGGCATCTGAGCAGACTTGGCTGGGCCTCTGGACACACAGGAGCAGATGGGTGAGATGAGAGAGACTTCTAGGATGAGAAGTGGGACTGGGCAGGTGTGGGCCACACCACTGGCTCCCGTGAGCTCGTGGCCAGCGATTACACTAGGGAGCTGCCACTTTTTCCCATGACGCCTGATGCGCTTGTACCGGTCACACAGTACTGCTCTCTGACAGCTCATCTGAGAAGTGTGAGCACTGTGGCAGGCTGGACTTAGGGCCCTGGCTGCAGAATGGGGGTGGACAGCCTTAACTCCATCGAGGACTAAGGGACAGATCATTGAGGGGGTCAGCACTGGCCAGCAGGGTTCACTCACCCCCAGCCTGCAGCCTTCTCCCTTGCCCCTCACCACCCTGGGGCTGTCCAGGGCCTGCTGCTCCATTAGCTCTTAGGGGCTGGGGTCTCTTGGGCCGGTGAGAAAGCCTGCATCAAGCAGTGGTTTCATAGCTACTATCAGGGTGTTTCCTTTCTAAGTGGATTTAAATTATCAAAATATTTTGGGGGGAACCTCGCCTTTGCTAGGCACCACTGCCAAGCAGTCCGCCAGCCCAATTTTTTGTGACAGGGTTTTTCAGATAAGGTCTTGAGATAGGGTCTCGTGCACTATTTACTCGGGCTGGCTTCAAACTGCGATCCTCCTGATCTCTGCCTCCTGAGTAGCTAGGATTATCGGCTGTGAGCCACCCGTGCCCGGCTTTGAAAAGCATTTTATAAAAATGACGAACACATGGCCAGTGGCCAGTGGATGCCACTCAAACCCGGGAATCTGGCGCCGGAGTCGCTGAGATCCGCTCCCCTCACCCCATCCCACTCGGGCTCCCACGGCCTCACCCGCGCAGCACTGACCTTGGCAGGCCCGGGGGCGGGACGCGCGGGGCTGAGGACGGGCGCTCCCTCCCGGGGGGCCGGGGCCGCGTCTCCCGAGCAGGACTTGCAGCGCAGGCCGGTCCTAGCAGGGAGCGGAGAGGCTTGGGCGGGTCCGGAGTGGCCTTTCCTCCCCAGCCCTCGCAGCTGCCCTGGCCACTCCACTCACCCGGGACGGACCGTGCCCGCCGGGAAGTGGCAGCGCCAGTGGAAGGCGGCGGCGCAGTGCGCGCACCGCAGCGCGTCCGCGCCGTCCCCGCACACACCGCACCGCGCGCCCGGCGCCTGGCCCTGCAGGAGGGGGAGAGCGAATGGTGACGGGGAGCGGGGGTTCTGTGACCCAACTTGCGCCCTCTGCACCCTCCGGCCCGCGGCAGACCGGGACGCGCGTGAGAAACCGCACGGGTGCGCTTCGCGCCCGAGGGAATGAGTCCTGCGGGTGCCTGAGGGCAGCACCCAGAGCACCTTCGCTCCGCAGCCCACAGAGCCAGCCTTCGGGGCTTTTCTAGTCCCTCCCCACACACTGCTCAGCCCTAGAGGAGGCCCGACGTGCTGGGGAATTGGGGTGGGGGGGCTAATGGGGTGCGGTTCTGGACTTGCTGGCCATGTCCCCTTTATTGTCCTACCTCCCCATGGGTAATGCCCCGGTTCCTGAGCTGGGGTTTGGGGAGAGATGAGCAAATGTATCCTTCAGCTGAAAGCCATCCAGTAGCCCAGCCCCACCTCTGGGTGCTCCCCCTCCAGGGCTGCCCCTCAGCCCCACCTCTGGGTGCTCTCCTCACAGCTCACAGCTTGTGCCTCGTCACCCTTGCCCTCTCCTTAGCCAGTCCCGCTCCTCCTGGCAGAAGCCTCCCCTGACTCTGGACCCCTGTCTAATCCCTAGCCTTTCTCCCCAGCTTCATTGGAGGTTCTGGCCCCTTCCCTGTCATAACTGGCTTTCCAATTCTGTCCTCTTTCCAGTTCACCCAACTGCCCAACCTAGAAGGTTCTGAGCTTCCTGAAGACAGCATCTTGACCCCTGGGACCCCCACCCTTACTCACCTTCTGCCCCTCAGGGCCAGCACTCAGCAGAGGACGCAGGGCTGAAGGCTCTAGCACGGGCAGAGGGGCTGTGGAAGGTGGAGCTAGCAGGTGCGTGTAGGTGAGAGCAGGGTCCATGCTGGCTGGGGGCTCTCTGGGCAGGTTTCTCACCTCCTCTCCTGCTGACCTCAGTCCTAGGAGGACCTGGAACCCAAGAATCTATACTCAAAAGGGTCACAGGACACCCACCCAGTACCGTGGTTGCTATAGTCAGCAACCATAACAGCCATGAACCTAGAGGGATTCTACGCTGGGGCTTGGAGTCAGCATGGCTAAGTGCAATTCCTGGCTCTGTGGCCCTCAACAAGGTCTTCCTTTGGCCCTGTCCCATGTAAGAATGGGGTACCCTGTGCCCTTGGGGCCTGTCAGAGTAAACACTGGGCATATCACAGAGTATGTGTAGTGGTCCTCATGTCTTTCTGCAACAGAGCTTCAAACCCTTTTAGACAATATAGGGATCACAGTGCAGCCAGTGTCAGGCCAACAGAGCCAAGGCCCTATCCGAGCAGCGAGGATGGAGACGTTATAAGGGCAGTTTCTCAGGTCCCTAGGCCTAGGAAATTCATGGAAAGCCTGGACTACAGAAAATCCAGCTGCTCAAGCTGGGAGCTGGACAGTCTCATGGCTGGGTCAGGCCCAACCCACAGGAGTGGTCAGGAGGTAGGACTGAGGAGGGGCAGAGGGAAGGAGGGGTGATTCAGCCTGAGCATACCGGGGTCTCCGCAGGTGGCTCAGGAGGCCGGGGCTCCTCAGCCCGGGGCAGGCCCTGTTGGAGTCTCCCCTGGAGGCAGCAGGAGCACCTCCAGGTGCCACTGAATGTGTTGTCACCAGTCACAGGAATGCAGGACAAAGCAGAGATCACAGACTCCCAGACCCTCAAGGTAGAGGAGCTGGAGAGCCCCCCCCCCAGTCTTTTCACTGATAGGAAAACCAAGGCCAGACAGGAAAGTGGGCCGAGCCAGAGGGCCAGTCAGCAGGAGAGCCCAGAATGTGGATATTTATCCCTGGTGAGGTGGCCCTGGCCAGTGTGGTCAGTGTCCCCTGAGTGCATCCCTAAGGAGCCTCAAGAAGTCCCCCTGCTGGTAATCCTCAGTGGCCTGTGCCTGCGGGCCCTTCCTCAGCTGGGCTGTTTCTGCCCTGTGAGCCACTCACATTTCCAAGGGGAATGGTGTCCAGCAGAATGGGAGAGGGTCAAGATCAGTGGGGAGAGGAGGAAAGAAGGACAAGCAGTGGTAGGAGGGACTGAGAAGGAGCCTGGCAGAGACCTTCATGTCAGGGATGGAGGAATGAGGCTCAGAGAGAGCCTCACACAGGAGGCAAGAGGCAGAGCCTGGACCCCTCCTCCCACAGGCTGCCCAGTAGGCTGGGGGCAGAGGGGTGCACACTAGGATGTGAACTGAGAAGGCCTCATGCCCAAAGAAGACAGGGTCCTGTGCACTCATCAGTGACACCCACCAGCCTTGGGGGGTAAGAGGGGGTGCAGCTCTGTGGCCTCTATGTTCCCCAGACCTATCTGGGAATAGGACTTTGGTGGACTTGGAGATATGAGATACCTGTGGGAGTTTGGGCTAAGGACCTGGGGCAAGTCGGGACAGTATGGCCACCTTGCCTTGGGGACTCTGTGCTACATTGCTGCCTTCAAGGGCCCTGCTGGTCTGAGCTGGCAGTATGGCTGGGTGGGAGGCAGACGACATGGTGGGAGAATCCAGCCCTGCCCCACAGCCCTGCCCTGAACCAAGGCCACTCACAGAAGGGTCCTATTTCCCCATCCGAGCGTCCAGAGCCTCTGGAAGCCTTCAGTTCAGGGTCATCAGGTGGCTGTGCATGAGTCGGGGTGGCCTCAGCAGAAGTGGTGAGCAGGTGAGGGGCATGTAGCTCACCTGGGGATCTCCCGCAGTGGAGGGGACAGGCAGGCCAGGTGGAAAGCCCGGGGACAGCCATCACAGCAGATGAGTTCCCCACCATCCCGGCACACGGCACACTCGTCCTCATTCTTCTGACCAGGCGAGAGGGGCCCATGTAGACCCTGGAATGAGGCATGGTGCCTCCCCGAGAGCCCCCTCCCCAGAAGGGCTCCACTTGCAGTGGTTCATCTCCAGACACCTTGCTCCCAAGGACCCTCCCTGCCCTGCTGCTGGTCCCTGCCTGACAACCATCTCCAAGGCTGTAGTCCCCAATTCGGACCTACTGGAGCCATCCCACTTGTTCTTGTTTGTTTATTTGTTTGGTGGCACTGGGGTTTGAATTTAGGGCCTCATGCTTGCTAGGCAGGCACTCTAACCACTTGAGCCACTCCACCAGCCCTGGAGCCATCCCACACGGAAAGAAGTTCTGGGTTCCAGGTGTCCCTCTAGACAGCATCCCACACTTAGGCTGCCCTTCCTCCCAGGGCAACAGCCAGTTGGGTCATGGTGTCTCCTACCAGCTCCAGACACATGCTGCCCCACCCTGAGGCTCCACCCTCCTGGTGCCTTTGCCTGGATAGTAGTCATCTATCCTCAGAGGTCTGAACACCACCTCCTCCAGAAGCCCCCAGAGTGCCAGGCTGGACTGGCTCTGTACAGCAACCATCACCCTTATGGCAACCTGTCCCTGGACCCTCAGCAGCCAGGGCAGTACTTTTGTAGAGCAGGGCAAGACTGGGCCTTGTCTGTCCCAGGTGCCTAGGGCAACGAGGGGTCGGCATCCATGTCTGCAGACACAGTCACATACCTCCTTAAGAGACAGTGCTGGAGAATCAAGCTCTAACTTCCCCCAAGGCTCAGCTGAGAGATGCCTTGAATACAGCCTGTGCCAAAGGTATGGTTTCGGAAGCCTGGGGGGCCCTCACTTTCTCTAACTTTGTTGTACTTCTCAATTGTGTATTACCAGGAAAAAAGTACTGATAGGAAGAGTGGGAGGCAGGAAGGATGAGGAAGAGGAGCTCTGCCCCATGGGCACAGGCTCAGACCTCTGTGCTCCAAGCACCTAAGTGTCCAGGACAACAGGCGAAGGCCACAGAAGGACCCACCAGGGGGGTGGTGAGGTGAGTAGGGCTCCTCTCGTGGGCTGGGGCATTACCTGGTGTAGCTGGGGCTCGCTGGGGAGGGCTGGATGGATAGGAACCCTGCCCTGCTGGTCTACTTTCTGCTCACCTCCACCCTGTGAGAGAGAAGAGAGTCGTACTGGAGGGAGCCTGCACCGAGGGGTCCATGTGGCCCCTGGTGACAGGTGCCCTTCAGCAGCAGCCTCCTGGCCCCCACAGAGCTCCTTACCCAGACGCAGTGCTGTGTGTGGAGGGGGTAAGCATGCCCGGGGCCTCACCTCCCCAGGGATGTGTCTGGTACTTACAGAGGCAGCACTCTGGGCTCCCTTGGCTCGGACCAGAGGCTTCAGAGCACTGCTGCTTCGGGTCTTGTTCTTTGTACTGCTGCCTGGGTCTTCAAACTTGCTGGGGGTATAAAACTCCCCCCCAACCTGAATGCACTTCTTGGAGCTCCCTGGGAGGAGATGCAGACTGGACCCCTGGGCTCACTAGCCTCTCACAGGCCCTGGTCTGCCACTGGGGAGTCTGGCAAACAGTCTACACTTCCCAGTCTGCATCTCCTACAGCCTGCCAGTCCTCCACCCCCATAGGTACCTGACACAGAAAGGCATTCTCTGTGGGGAGTGTAATCAGAATGAACAGCGTCCCCCAAAATTCATGCCCACCCAGCACCTTAGAACAGGACCTATTTGGAAATAGAGCCTTTGTAGATGTAATCGGTTAAGAGGAGGTCATACTGGAACCTAAATTCAATGACTAGTGTCCTCACATAAAGAGAAGAGGACAAGCCAGGCGCTGGTGGCTCATGCCTGTAATCCTAGCTACCCAGGCAGGGCAAATAGTTAAGACCCTATCTGGAAAAACCCTTCACAAAAATAGGGCTGGTGGAGTGGCTCAAGGTGAAGGCCTTGAGTTCAAGCCTCAGTACTGAAAAAAAAAAAAAAAAAAAAAGAGGAGAGAACAAGCTGGGCATGGGTGGTTCATGCCTGTGGTTCACACTGGTGGTTCAATCCTAGCTACTTGGGAGGCTGAGATCAGGAGGATCGTGGTCTGAGGCCAGCCTGGGCAAACAGTTTGCGAGACCCCATGTCCAAAATAATCAGAGCAAAATGGGCTGGAGGTGTGGCTCAAATGGTAGACTGCCTGCTTTGTAAGCACAAAATCCTGAGTTCAAACCCCACCAAAAAAAAAAAACAAGAGAGAGAAAAGTCAGAGTGACAACAGGAGATGTCATGTGAAGACAAGGCAAACACTGGAGTGATGAGTGACACAGTCACAGCTTGGGAACAGGGATTGTAGGCAGCACCAGGTGAAGGGTAGGCAGGAAGGACCCTCCCTGGAGCCTCCAAAGGGAAGTGGCCCTGTCCACATCTGGTCTATGGTAATTTGTTTTAACAGACCTAGGATGCTCATACAGGGTTCTTGGTACCACCCCTGAAACTGGGACTGCATCAGCTCCCAAGGCTGTCCTGGCTGTCCTTGGCCAGTGTCCAGCACAGAGAACATGCCGTGGAGCGAATGATCTATAGCTGGGGGCTCTGCCCCCAGTGGGCCCCACTATGTTCTGGTCATATGATATGGGTGACCTCATGTGGTCTGTGGCTGCCCCAGCCAGTAGGTTGACCTCCTGGGGCTTGTGGGAGGAGGCTATCCAAGGTATGAGGGGACTGCCTCCTCATAGGAGGCTAACAATGAGGACAGGACAAAGAAGTTGGGCAGGCTGTTCTGCGGGGAGAGTGTGGGTCCCAGGAGAATCAGAGCACAGAAAGAATATGACCTGTGACCCAGCAGCACCCACCCACGTGGAGGAGGTGGGCATCCATGCTGGGATGTGGGCAGGGACCATTGGCCTGGTATAAGTTCCCCTGCTCAGGGAAGTCCTCGGTGTCCTCCCTTCTGCTCCAAAGCCAGCAGAAGCACATGCAGAAGGCTGGCCACCTCCACTTCAGCCACATCTGCTTTGGGGCCACCACCTTCCATCCTGGGGATCTGGGTAGCCCTCCCTGTCCCCCATGCATCTACCTGACTCAAACACCTGCTGGATGAGGATCCCCTCCACAGCCCCACGGGTTCCTGGCATGTCCCCAGAGGACACGGCCACAGCTCTCTGGACCGAAGCTGACATGGTCTGAATTCCTGGGGAAGGGACCACCCAAGTGGGGGCCATCAATTGGGAAGATGGCTCCTGAGCCCTTATTCCACCCCCGCAGAAGGGGATGGTGACCGGACAGGTGCAGGCTGTGCCTGGGCTGCAGAATCCTCCTTTCGTTCCAGGCAGGACAGGCTGCAAGTGTGGGTGTCCATGTGTGCACATATGTACATGCAGAAGTGCAGGTGTGTGGGAGCTCAGCAGAGCTGAGGACAATGACTAGCCCCGATGACATGGTCCCTGTGTAGTGCTGGGATCTCGGAGCTACTAGGCCTACCTCTGGGCAAATCCCAGTGAGCACCTATGGAGTCAGGTGCCCTGGGAAGGGGGAGGAGGCAGGTAAACTTCAGCTAAGGGACAAGGATGGCCTTCTCATGGATGAGGCGTGTGGGCTGACCCTGAAGGATGGGCAGAGATAGGAGGCCTGGGAGGAGGGCCCTGGAACAGTGTGCCCTGGTAGGCAGCATGACTGGCAAGGATACATTTAGACCGAAGGCACCTACTCTTTCCCAGGTTTGGCCAACCAACTGAGGCTGTGGGTTGACACTTCAGACCAGCAGGGCCCCAACTCCAGGGACAGGCCCTTCAACCCTGAGCCCCTAGCCTCACTCACCATTCCCCAGTGGGAGGCGCTGCGGCTCCAGGTTGCCCTCTGGCTTCTTGAGGGGCTTGGCCTTCGGTTGGGACCCTGCAAGGGGGAGCTAGAGGCAGCTGGGGCCTCCTCTCCTGGCTAGGGCTGGTGGGCCTGGTGTGTGTGGGGGAGGAGGATGGGGGAGAGTTGGGGGGTGTGGATTAGGTGCTGGGCTATTTCCCTCAGTAGTAAAAAGGAAAGAAACCACTCCCTGGGTGGTGACCCAGGGAATTCTGCCTGAGGGTAGAAAGCAGCCAAGGGCCGACAGCCTGTCCAGTGTGCCTTTTGATCCCCAGAGGGGCCTCTGCAACCAGGTTAGGCTGGCTCTGTATCTGTCTGGTGGGACAGAAGCTCCTTGGGTCAGTAGGGGAGAGGAGGGTCATTGGGAGACCTGTGACTCTGGCTGGCTCCTCCCACTGAGTACCCAGGCTGGAGGTGGCCCTTGGAGTCAGGGCTGCTGGTGGGGTGGTTCGAGGCTCCTCGAGGGCCTTCCTCTTGGTGGGGAGTCTGGGTGGCAGTACTGAGGCCTTGTGGCTGGCAGGGGGCTTCCTCCCTTTGCGGGGATGGCTGAGGTCCACATCTGTAGGGGTGGACAGGAGCAGGGTCCCAGTCTTAGAGCCTTTCCTTGCGGGCCGCCCACTTACAATCCAAGTCCTAGGGGTCACCCAGGGGCTACCCAAACACCCCTCACACACCTTCCATCTTACACCTGCAGCCCAAGCCTCTCACATGCTTGGGCCGGTCAAGACCCAGTCCCTGCGCAGGCCCACCTTTGGGGAAACTGTCCAGGATGGGCTGTAGCCGGCTATACCGCTCCAGGTTGTAGTCTTTGAAGAGAACCCTCCAGAAGTCCAGGATGGCTCCCACGTCCTGGGTCAGGAGCCAGGACAGAAGGGCGTGGAAGGCCTGGGGGCAGCCCTCTTTCTCCTTCAGGCGCAGCGTCTCCTGCAGCAACAGTGGTACAGGGTCCGGGGACCACACCCCGGGTCCTCCTCCTGCTGCTCCCACGGAGACTAGGTCCACCCTGCCCCGACACTTGACCTGGGGCCACCCCTGACTTGTGGGTGGCCATGGGGTATTGGGGGCCGGGGGGAACTGGGAGGGGGCTTATCTGGAACCGTCTTCAAGGGCCCAGGTCCCCGGCTTGCGGAGAGGAGTGGGGAGGCTGGGGACCCCCGGCTGGAGTGTGGGCGGGGCGGGGCCCACCTGGAACTTGTCCTCGGGGACCACATCATGGTCGGCCAGGGCGTGCAGCAGTGGGAAGGCGCTGTCCACCGCCACCGCGATCTCGGTGCGGTGCAGCCGCAGGAGCCGGCGCAGCGTGGCGTCTCCGCCAGCCCTGGGCTCGCCGGCCATCGGGATGCCTACGCGGCCCTGTGGGGACCCCGGGGCTGGGCGGGGCGCGCCCCCTGCTGGTCCTCAGTCACTGGCAGTCTGTCTGTCAGTCTGTCCCGCCACCTCAGGGTCCCGCGGGCCAGGACGCACCTGCGCCAACACCTCCACGGCCCCGCCGCGGGGAGAGGCGCTTTGCCTCCACTCTGCGTGAGCCCTGGCAAGCGGCTCTGTTATACCGCCCTGACCAGGAAGGAGCAAAGGCTGGGGGCCCAGGAGCCAATCAGGGCAGCTTCTGCAGGGCACGAAGGGAAAGCCGTCCTGAGACCCGTGCACAGAAGTTCCCTCAGCCGCCAGCCCACTGTACCCCGTCCCCAACCCCAGGCTGGCTGGCCTTCCTGTCCTCTGCACACCTTCTAGTCCTCCCTGTAGAGGACACTGTTCCTAAGGCAAAAACCACTCAGGTGAGCTGGCACCTGTGGGTGGCCAAAATAAAAAATCCCCAGGAGAGACAGACTGGGGCAGCACTGTAAGAGGTGCTTAAATTGCTTTTCCTGAAAAGCACTGACTCCTTTCTTAGGCCTACAAATTAAAGACAGGAGAAAAGCCTGGCATCTCTCCTCCATTTTGTATCCGTCTTTGCTCTAAGCCATTCTCTCTGCAGTCACCTTGCAACCACCTTGGATTCCAGGAAAGACAGAACTGATAACATCTTCATGACAAGGGACAGAAATTACCTCCAATGGCAGAGCTTCCTCAGGATGGACCACCTGCCCAGAGACAATGACTCTAGATTACAACTCCAGAACCCTCTCTCAGAACAAGGAAGGAGATAAAGACCAACTCCACCACACCTGAGACTGGAACTGTGTAACTATGCATACCTTTGTCCCCTGGCCCTACTTCTTTTGCCTACTTAAATCTATAGAACCTACAGCTCATGTCTGTACCCTAAAGATGGCTGAAGATGGGCTGAGTGCTTCCTCTGCCTCTTCCCATGGCATGTCCTAGGCTGTGTAATAAATCTCCTTTCTCTGCCATTCACCATGCTTCTTTAGTTGGCCTATAAGGGTGAGTGGCTGGACCTGACATGGAATCCCAGGAGTTAGGACCTGGGGTCCAAAACTCCGATTTCAGCATCCCGGGGGAACTCCCCACTCGGCTGAGAGTCCCTGCACTATCCCAGACCCCAAGCTGTAGGAGTCAGATGGAGATGGAGAGTCCTAGTGTGACAGAGGAGATGGTCCGTCCAGCGTGCTGGTGGGTGGGTACCGCGCTGGGCAAGGTCTGAGAAGCTTCTGAGCTTTGCCCTCCCAGGACTCTGTCCCTCATCTATAAAATGAACACATTTAACTGAGGGCCCCAAGTCCAGTGTAGTAAAAAAGTGCAAGGAAGGCAGCCAACCCCATGACTGGACATTCTTGTTCTGGCCACAGGCTGAGAGGAACACACCAGGAGCCTTCCGAGGGCTGGCAGAGACTGAGGGGCGGTGTAGCCTGGAGGGCAGAGCCTTGGAGGAAATTGGGGATGGTATCGTGGAGGCAGCTGAGTGGAGAGGGGAGCAGAGGTTCTCATGTGAACATGTGGAACAGCGTCCCCAGCAAGCTGTGAGCCTGAAGTGGTAAGGAAGGCTTGTGCTAGAAAGATGCCTGGGCCATCGTGGACAGTGGCCATAGAGTGGACCCAGGTGCCAGGGGCCTGGTTAGGATAGCACTAGGCTGGGGCCACCTGGTGCAAGGGGAGGGGAGGCCAGGCAGTTTGGTTAGGCGCATCTCCACGTGAGTCGAGCTCAAGATGGCTGCTCCTCACCTAGTCCCTGACTTGGTTTCTCCTCCTGCCTCCAGCCCGCGGGTCCCTGAGGCCTGCAGGTGCTGAGGTGGCAGGTACCTGGCAGTTTGGAAGCCAGGCGAAAGGGGAAGGGGCACAGGATCAGGGCCAGAGGGTGGCTGAGGTGTCGGACTGGGAGAGCCATGGTGGCAGTGGCCTTCTGCAGACATCAGAGGGAAGCCTTGGCCCACGTGGAGATGGACCTGCCCCTCTGTGAGGTTCATCTTCTCCCCAGCCCCAGCCAGGGCCACTGCCCACCGGTCTTTCCTGCTATCTCCTGTGGATTCATGTTTACTGCCCAAACATTTAAAAAAAACATTAAAAACATTTTAAAAAACGTGGAACAGTGCCTCAAGAATACAAACTGAATTTATGGGTCAGCAGACTCCTGAGTCCACACATGGAGGCCCCCAGAGGGGCATCGTGCAGCCTTTGGGTGACCAGTGCCCCTCTCCTTGGAGCATCAGCATTCTCAGAATGTCAGAATGTTGTACCTTGGCCAGGTTCTGGTGGCTCTATCTATAATCCCAGGTACCCAGGAGACAGAGATCAGGAGGGTCGAGGTACAAAGCCAGCCTGGGCAAATAGTTCGCAAGACCCCACCTCAAAAAACCCTTTACAAAAATAGGGCTGGTGGAGTGGCTCAAGGTGAAGGCCCTGAGTTCAAGCCCCAGTACTGCAAAAAAAAAAAAAAAAAGAATGTTGCATCCTGCAGCCTTGGGGGGATTCCACGCCCCAGGTGGGGACGCCTCAGCCACAGGCAATGACAAAGGGGAATTAAAAACTGCAACACAAGATCAAAGCCTGAAACTGCCGCAGTGCACCTGTGTCACTGGCCAGGGCCTGACTGCTGTGGGCAGGCGTCACCCAGCTCCTGTGGGAGGTCAGCAGAGGCTCCTGTAGAATTTTGGACTTTCCACCATGCCATGGGGGTTTCCATCACAGTCCCCACCAACAGGTGACCTAGAACTGTTAAGACTGTGTGCAGGAGGCCTTGGTGACCCAGATCTAAGCAAGGGCACTTGGCACGGGTCTGGCACCATCTCCAGCTGGAGAGATGCCTTGATGGGCTGAGCCTCAGGTCTTCCCAGCGCCCTGGGCAAGTGGGCTCCATTCACACAGTAGGGGACACCGCCTCCTGTCCCACTGAGGTACAGAGAACAATGGAGACCATGACCTGGGTGAGGCTGGAGGAGCCCCAGGATTGCAAGCAAGGGTGAATGGGCAGAAATGTCCCTCAGGAGAGGCAGGCTGAAAGCCAGAAGTGCCTGTCCCCTTGGCGGGGTCGCAGAGTCTGCACAGAGTCTGGGACAGCCCTGTTGAGTCTGTACTCCAAGCATGATTCTGAGGCTGGTTAGTGACAGGGAAAGTAACCAGCCATGGGACTCTGTCCTCTTCAGCAAAAGGTCACCCCCATGCTGAATTCCTTCTCTTCACCCAGTACCACCCTCGACATCCCCTCAGTTGTAAATTCCTTTGCAGGCATAAGTACCCCAAAATCAAGGGAGTTTCTTGGCCGGTTCAGACTGGAAAATGGTGCACGCTCACCGAAGAGTAATCTGTCTCAATCTGACCTCTCAGGTAAAGCCTCTGCTTAAGACCTTATGAATATTGGTTGCATCTCACACATACAATTAAAGACCTTGTCAACCAAACCTGCCAATCACCTTAGCCTTGCTTGCAAAGACGGCCCAGACTTTTCCTGCCAGTTCCCCTCATAACTTACAAATTACCCTTTGAAAAAGACCAGTGCTTCTGTCCCACCTGGCAGGGCCCACTCTCTCTTTTGCAGTGTCTATACTCTCTTTTTCCCTTTCAGTAAACTCTACTATGGCTTTGCAATCTGTGTCTCTGTCCAGTTCTCTGTTCAGGAGATGCCAGAATCGGAGATCTTAGGGAGCAGGATCTTCCGAAGACCACTCATCCAGCAACAGTTTGAGTTTTAATAATGTTCATATATTAATTTTTATGTTAAACATAGGAAATAGAATTGAAAAATATTTACAATACCAATCAAAATGTCAAATAAGTAGTAATAAAGATAAGAAGAATTCTGCTGAATTCAGGTGGTCATTGTTTGGCCAATGAATCTCCCTGAGTTGCCCAGGCTGGCCTTGAACTCCTGAACCCCACCTATCCTCCTGCCGCAGCCTCCCAGTTCCTGGACTACAGCACCAGGCAAGTGACCACAGAGTGAGCTGCAGTGTAAAGCCTGTAAGTGCAGCCAACCTCTGATTCCGAAGAGACTAACTGCTGGAGCGGAGCTCGGAGCACAGATGGGTCCAGACACACTGGGGAGCTGGGATACATGCTCCCTCTGGGGTGCGGAGGCATTGGGAATTCTCTGTTGGCCATCAGACAACTGGCTGATCATTTGCAAAAATCATGCCAAAGGCCAAAAAATATTCCAGCCGGATGAATATGCTAAAGGATTTAAACAAAGCCAGGTGCGGTGGTGTACACTGTAATCCCAGCACTCAGGAGATGGAGGCAGATGGCTAAATTTGCAGTCAACCTGGGCTACATATGGGGACCCGATCTCCACCCCCCCCCGACACCGCAAAAAAGGGTAAAAAGATGAAAAATGAATTAAGACACTAAAAGAAAATAACGGCACAGGCTTTGGGGTGGAAAGGAGCTTTTTAAGTACGAAAGGGAGAGTAGGGAGGTAGAGATCAGGAGGATTAAGGTTTGAGGCCAGCCCTAGGAAAATAGTTTGCAAGACCCTACCCCAAAAAACCCATCACAAAAAAGGGGTGGTGGTGTGGCTCAAGTGGTAGAGCACCTGCCTAGCAAGTGGGATGTCCTGAAATCAAACCCCAGTGCCATAAAATAACTAAATAACAAAGGACCAGAGAAGAGACAATTTGTGTAGTTATTCCACAGCTCCATGGTTTTGGGGCTGGAATCTAGCACCATCACCCAGCTTCTGCTTTGTGACTTTGGAATACTGAAACCCATAACCCATAACCTGTGACAAATAAGAAAGCTGCTGCTTCCCAAAATGTAGCTTCATCAGAGTGTTGGGGAATGTCACACACAGGGTACCCTTACTTGGCAGGTCTGGGGGAAATAGGTCGGGTTGTCCTGTCATTCAGGATCTCCAGGGACTTGGGGTACAGATGATGAATGGAGATGGACCCAGTCTCTGACAATGTCACCACCCAGGCAGGGAGGACGCAGCAGTCACCGTTTCGGTCAGGAGATGGGGGAGTCTGGTCATCTCTGTGGACGGATGACACAGTGCCATGGTTTGGTCCCAGACTAGATTGGAAGTGACCTTATTTTCTTACTCACTTGAACGGTCGCTAAACTTCATTTGAATTTCTTCAGTTTTCCCCAATGTCTTCCAGCCCAGAACTCCCTCCAGGGTCCCACCACTGCATTTGGGTGTCACTCCCTGGGCTTCTCCAGGCTGTGACTGTACCTCAGCTGCAGCTGGATCATGGGTGACCTTGACAGTTTGGGAGAGGACAGGCATTTTCTGGGACGGCCTTCCATGGTGATTTGATAGTTTTTCTCTGGCTGGACTAGGACCACAGGTTGTTGGGGGGTAGGCCCAGAAAGTTGCAGGAGGCTCTTCTCATGGGTCCCTAAAGAGCACTTGGGGTCACGTTACAGGATTTGTCATTATGGTGCTGACTAGGTCATGTGGCTGACAGGTGCCTCACTGTACAGTGACTGAACTTTGTGGAGGTCATCAGGCCTCAATCCCGTGAGTTGGGACCCATGCTCCCCCAGGATCTCCCCGACTTTTGCTCACCAGTATAACCCAGTGACTACAGCCCGTACCCACCTGGTTTTCTGTCCAGCTGACCCCCAACCCAAGGCCCTTCCCAACCCTCCCTCCACCCTACCCAGCACCCCTTTGCCATCCCACGCACTCGCTCCCATGCTCCTTTGTCCCTACCCCAACCTCCACCCCACCCTGAACTCCTTAACCCTTACCCCTCCCTGAGATCCCCACTCAACCTGCCCTGACCAGCGCCTCTCCTGACCCCCACCCTCCATCTCCACCTGTATCCCACTCCTGAGCCTCCTCCATTGAGCTTCCTAGGCCCCGCCCCTGAACACCGCCCCCGCCCTGCCCCCACCCCTGCCCCCACCCTTCTCCAGCACTGAGCTCCCTCAGCCCCGCCCCATAGCATCCCGCCCACACTCTCACCCCCACTCTGCCCCGAGCTCTTATTCCCACCCCATCTTTCCCCTTCCTCTACCCCCCTGAACTCTGCCTCTCCCAGCTCCCCACCAGGCCCTAACAGCCTCCACAGAAGCTTCTCATTCCTCCCTTCCATTCCTCCTGCACTGCGGGCTCTGCACCCCTAGTGCTTCTGAGCTTTCCCACCAGCTCTGGAACGGGTCCTCCAGCGGTTCCTGGCTCCTGCAAGGTCTGTCCCCTGGTTCCATGGCCCTCTCCTCCCGGAAGCGGAAGCTGAGTCTGGAGACCCTGGACAGCTCTGACCCTGACTCAGCAAGCCACCTGGATGAGGTTCAGTGGCAGCAGCCCTGTGAGATGCGTGAGGTCCCCCTTCTCTCCCTCTTCCTCCTTTTCACCCTTGAGGCAATCCCCAGGGCGACCCTGGCTGGGATCTGGGGGACACTGTGGGAGGCAGGAGCATGGGGTCCTTGAGGAGTGCAAGGCCAGGTGCAGAGGGAGGCAGGGGCTACAGTGGACGCTGGCCTCTTGGTCCCTTATGAGCCAGTGGCCTGCCAGAGCCCCATCCTGGCAGGGGTTGGGTGGGTGTGGGGCATCCTGTAGGGGACCTGCTAAGCCCCCATAGAGGCTGGTGATGGCTGCATTTCTTCCTGCTCCTCATCCTCTGTGAATGGGTGGGTGTCACTGTTGAGGGGGTGCGCCACTGGGCAGTCTGGTGGATCTCCCGACCCTTGTATGCGGCTCCCAGCAGAGGCTGACAGCTGGCTATCTTCTGTGTGTGCATCCTTGTGTCCCCATGGTAGCACCCCCAGACTCAGACCTGGAGCCTGAGCGCAGCATGGACGTGATCCTGGTGGGCTCCACCGAGCTGCTGCCCTCCCCTCCAACTCCACCAGGCAGAGGTGAGGTCTCACTGAAACCAGAGTTTTGGACCCAAGGCCCAAATTCCTGGGATTCCACATGCCAGGTCCGGCCACCGCCCCTGTAGGTCAAATAAAAAGGCAAGGTGAAGGGCAGAGAAAGGAGATTTATTACACAGCCTAGGACACGCCGTGGGAAGAGGCAGAGGAAGCACTCAGCTCATCTTCAGCCATCTTTGGCTGACATGAGCTGTAGGTTTAAGTAGACAAAGAACTGGGGGCTGGGGGAGAGAGGTGAGGTATGCAGAGTTAAACAGTCCCAGTCACAGGTGTGGTCGGGTTGGTCATTATCTCGGTCCTTGTTCTGGGAGAGGTTCCGGAGTTGTTATCCAGAGTCATTGTCGCCTGGCAGGTGGTCCATCCTGAGGAGGCTTTACTGTTGGGGGTAGTTTCTGTCCCTTGTCATGAAGATGTTATCAGTCTGTCTTTCCTGGAATCCAAGGTGATTGCAAAGTGACTGCAGAGAGAATGGCTTAGAGCAAAGACAGATACAAAATGAAGGACAGATGCCAGGCTTTTTCCTGCTTTTAGTTAATTCGTGGGCCCAAGTAAGTAGTCAGTTTTTGTTTTGTTTTGTTTTTAGCAAAAGCAGTTTGAGCAGCCAGGTGCCGGAGGCTCACACCTGTAATCCTAGCTACTCAGGAGGCAGAGATCAGGAGGATCCGTGGTTCAAAGCCAGCCTAGGGCAAATAGTTCACAAGACCCTATCTCAAAAGAGCCCATCACAAAAGTAGGGCTGGTGGAGTGACTCAAAGTGTAGGCCCTGAGTTCAAGCCCCAGTACCACCAAAAAAAAAAGAAAAGAAAAGGCAGTTTGAGCACCTTTTATATCATGATGGTGGCTGCTGAACCTAAGCAACATCTGAAATATGCAGGTGTCATTCAGACACTGGGCAGGACAGGTCCAGGCGGGTCAGGCCACCATCAGTGGGGGCAGGGCAGTGGGTGAGTTCTCAGGCCCCCTGACTTAAGACAGACTTTGATGCTGACCTCATGGCCACGTTCAGTAGGAACTGGGAGAAGGAACGGACTCCACATTCCCTTCTTTTCCAGATCTCATTGCCTATGAAGTCACGGTGAAACAGCGGAACATAGAAGGTGAGTCTGCACGCTTGCCTGGACCAGTCCAAGCGCATGGCAGCCACTGAGAAAAGCGAAAAGCTCGCTTCAGCCGGAGGTAGCTGTGGATGGCGCTGTGCGTGTGTGCACGCCCTCCACCTGCTTCGTCCAAGGCATGCAGTTGAACTTTAATCTTTCGTGGATTTACAGTATCCATCACCACAATCTAATTTTAGAGCGTTTTCAGCACCCTCCAAAGAAAAGTTGCCTCCACAACCGTTCACTGCAGACTCCTGCCTTCCTCGACACCCTTCTCCCAGTCCTAGGCTACCAATAATTTTCCCTTTCTCTGTGGACCAGCCCATTGTGAATTCTTTTTATTTCCACATAAATTTTAGGATCAGCTTGTCAAGGCCTGAAAAAAAAAAAAAAACAAAGCCAGCTAGAGAACCTACCTAGCAAGCCTGAGGCCTTGAGTTCAAACCCCTGTACCATAAAAGAAAAAAAAAAAAAAGTTTGCCAGGCACCAGTGTCTCACTCCTGTAACCCTAGCTTCTTTGGAGGCAGAGATCAGGAGGATCATGGTTCAAAGCCAGCCTGGGCAAAGTCTGGGAGACCCTATCTCGAAAAAAACCATCTCAAAAAAGGGCTAAGCCAGCTAGGATTTTGAGAAGGGCCTATTGATTCATTTAGGGAGTCTCACCATATTATTTACGTTTGTTTGTTTATTTATTTATTTTGGTGGTACTGGGGTTTGAACTCAGGACCTCACACTTGCTGGGTAAGTACTTTACCACTTGAACCACTCCACCATCCTGGGAGTCTTTCTGTTTTAACATCAAATCTCCTGATCTGTGGACACAGACGTCTTCTGCTTAGCCCTCCTTGTGGTTTTCAGTGTACAGGTCTTGCGTGTCTTTTTTTAACTACGCCCGGGTCTTTTGCTCCGTGAGGCAAAGCACTCTGGGCTCTGCGTGTTCTCTTTAGACATCTGCCTCTGCTGTGGAAGTTTCCAGGTGCAGACACAGCACCCCCTGTTTGATGGAGGAATGTGCGCCCCGTGCAAGGTGAGCAGCGAGGGAGGCGGTGGGGCTTCCGTGGGCCTCGGAGCAGGAGGACACACACAGCTGCCTTTGCTCTGGCCCAGGACAAGTTCCTGGAGAGCCTCTTCCTGTATGACGATGATGGGTACCAGTGCTACTGCTCCATCTGCGGCTTGGGGGATACACTGCTTATCTGTGAGAGCCCTGACTGCACCCGGTGAGGCACCTTCCCACTGATCCTCCCAGGGTATGGGGTGGGGTTCCTCCCAGGACACCTCCTTTGGCATGGAGCCCTGGCACATGGAAAGCAGGTGTCAAAAGACCTGCATCCACCATGTTTCTTTTCAATATTGTAGCCAAGGTATAGCCGTCCCTCCACTGTTAGGCAGAGGAGTGGAAAAATGCATACAGATGCAAGTTGTGACCAGGAGAGTACAGGGGCATGTTGACCCTCTGTCATTACTTACCAACCTGGTCCCTGCCCTTTGGTCACTCTGGGCCATCCTTGTGTTTACAGTCGCCCACCCCGAGTTTTCTCTGTCCGCTGGCTGCTCCTGCACAGAGCTCTTAGACTGTGAAGGTTCCAGAATATGGGAGAAGGCAGGCAACTTAGGGAAATTTGCAGTCGCCCCTAGCCCACCTCACCATCTTCCTTTGCTCTGAGTCCCCAGCCTGCAGCCTCGTAAGCTGAGCTGGACTTCTTCACTCTGATGCGAGTGCCACCCTGCCTTGTCATCCAGTCGGGTCCCCCAGTGGCAATGTCATTTCAGTCATCGTGGTTTTCTGTTTGACTCTAGATGCTACTGTTTTGAGTGTGTGGACATCCTGGTGGGCCCCGGGACCTCGGAGCGAGTCCAAGGCATGAGCTGCTGGGTGTGCTTCCTGTGCCTGCCTTTCTCTCGCAGTGGGCTGCTGCAGAGGAGGAGGAAGTGGCGCGACCGGCTAAAGGCCTTCCATGACCGCGAGGCGGTAAGGAGCACCAGCTCAGGCTGGCCGACCTCGGCCCTGGACCTCACTTGTCTTCCTGCTGCTCACTGGCTGCAAAAGCCCATTTCTTTCTTGTTTTCCTCTTGGAGAGCAGGCATCACTACATGGTCTTCGAATTGTCATAGTGACTGGAGGCATGGCTCAAGCAGTAGAGCACCTGCCTAGCATGCACAAAGCCATAAGTTCAGATCCCAGTACCACCAAAAAGGAATTGTCGTAGCATGGTGTTCCGGCTCTTACAAGCCTGAGAATGAGACACTTGTCCCTGGTAGGAGGGAAGCCCAGGAGAGGTGGCTGGCGAGCTCTCAGCAAAACTCTGGGTGCCAGTGTTGGCCAACACATATGTCCCCTGTCCAGCCAAGGCCACCGGCCCAGCTGTGGGACCTCTTAGGGGTCAAGACCAGACCCAGTGGGCCAAGCGGGAATTGTGAGGTCACTGGAGGTGCGGCAGGTTGAAATGTCCCTCAGCAGATAGGTGTGCACCAAGGGTTACTGTCACCCCCCAGAGGTTGGGAGAGAGGCCCGGGACAGTCTTTCCTGGAGTTTGCACAGCACCTTGCTTTCTGTGAGAGTGCATTTTTGCTGTCTTAGTTCCCAGTTTCTTTCAACCTGCCATGAAAGCCCCCAAAACTCACATAGGAGTGGTGGGAGCCCACTGTGAGGCAGCCCGCGAGCAAGGGACACACCCAGAGCTGTTCAACTCTGTTCCTCCCTCCAGGTCCCATTGACTTTGTTGGCCCAGCAAGATGCAACCAAGCCAAAGCAGAAAAGGGGCAGGCAGAGGGTTTAGGTGCCACAGTTGTCACTATTTGAGGCCAGGGCTACCCGCCTACCTGCTCCTTGTTACTGGTGGGTCTGGGAATGCCATTAGCTGGGAGAGGCATGTACCAACCTGGGATGTCCTCTCTGAGGGGCTCAGTCCCATGAGCCACACTGGCCTTGAGGTCCTCTTCTCTGAGGGTCTTAGCACTGCTCAGCCGAGACCAGCTCTCCAGATGCCAACTGCCCAGCATGCTGTGTCCACATTGGTGGGTGGGCAGCATTCAGTCAAGTCTCGACACCATTTGAGTGCAGGCGTGCCTCCCTCACTGCCCTTTGCAGGTGTCCTTACTGCACTGGGTTTTTGTTGTTGTTGTTTTGGGGGGGGGGGCTGGGTTTGCATTCTTTTTTTTTTAAACATTTTTTCTAGCATATGTTAGTTGTACAGGGGGTTTCACTGTGACATTTCCATATGTGCATGCAGTGGACCTTGGTCAGGTTTACCCCACTATCCTTAGGTTCATCTCCTCCATAGCCCTTTACTGTCCTCTTCAGAAAAGAAGGCGGAGTGAGGCTTTAGAGCCTTCTTCCCTGCCCCTTTAGGGACAAAACCCTTTCCTCTCCTTATGTTAGAGACCCCCGTGCTCCAAGGAGAAATTTCACATCAAAAACATATAAAGTGGGCTAGTGGATGGTTCAAGGGATAGAGCCCCTGCCTAGCAAGCACAAGGCCCTGAGTTAAAGCCCCAGAGCCACACACAAAAAAAGAAAGACTATTAAGTGATGTTCAGAGTGTAGCTGTTGAACAGCAGGGGTGGGGGTGCGGGACTGGGGTCGGGGAGGAAAGAAGCAGAGCGCTGACCTTGGGTTTAGCTCCTGGGTAGGGACATAGAGGCAAGAGGAAGTCCCCAGGCCTTCCCTAGTGTCAGCAGTGCCATGCCGCCCACAGCCCAGCTAGCTGGAGTCCTGACAGGTTGGGGTCAGCCCTGCCTGCTGCCTCCGCCTCCTCCCCAACCTGCCCAATGGCTGCCCGTGTTGGGAATCCATCTCACCACGTGTGGCCTGGGTCTCCCAGCAGCCCCCTCACACAGGCGTCTGTCTGGCTGCTGCTCAGGCTTGGCCCTGAGAGACCTGCATGTGCCCACAACCAGGTGTCCCCCAAGTGTGGCATCCTGTGGGGATCATGGCTTTGGGGCACTTCCAAGTACATTGACCCTGCCTTTGCCTAGCCAGCATCCTGGAAGAGAGGAAGGACCAGGTGTTCCTTCCCAAAGAGTGGACGGACTATGGGGAAGGTGTGTTTGCCAACACAGCCCCTCTCCCCCCATGAAAACTGCCTTTCTGGGGAGAAGACTTGGAAGCTAAGAGCTACCTCTAAAATCAGGAACCCCAACACACACAACCTGGCTTCCCTTTGTGGAGATGTGGGGTCAGGGCAGGAGACTCAGATCTGGGGCTCAGTAGAGCTGGCCTTCATTGAGGGGCAGAGCTGATCAGAACAAGGCCAGCCAGACCCGTTCTCTGTGTCTCTGGTGTGTCTAGGGTGAGGCTCAGTTCATCCAGGAGAGATGACTGCAACTTACGGCCCACACAGCAGCCTCCTCTCCTCTCCTGTCCTACTCTCTCCTCCCCTCCTCTTCACTTCTCTTCTCTCCTCTTTACTTTTTCTACTTCTTTTTTTTTCCCCCCAAGTACTGGGGTTTGAACTCAGGGCCTATACCTTGAGCTGCTCCACCAGCCCTTTTTTGTGATAGGTTTTTTTCAAGATAGGGTCTTACAAACTATTGCGTGGGATGGCTTCAGACTGCGATCCTCCTGATCTCTGCCTCCTGAGATTATAGACGTGAGCCACTGTCCGTGGTTATTAGGAAATCTGGACTTTTTAAATACATCATAATGCCACACACAGCAGTTGAGATCAGTTGGGAATCAGGTTTTTTTATTTTTGTTTTTGTTTTGGCAGCACTGAGGCTTGAACTCAGGGTCTCACTCGCTGTACCACTTGAGCCACTTTCTTTTCTTTTTTAATAGGAGAGTCCCCTGGAGATGTACAAAACAGTGCCTGTGTGGAAGAGAGAGCCAATGCGGGTGCTGTCCCTTTTTGGGGACATTAAGAAAGGTGAGTGCAGTGATGTCTGAAGACACAGGACTCTGTAAGAGGGGACCACAGTGTTCCTGATGTCTGCTTGCTGGCTGAGTGTCCAGGTGTCTGGGCTTCCTGGGTGAAGGGATAGAAAGGAATCAGCCAAGCGCCTGTCCTCAGCAACTCTCCCTGAGCCAGGAAAACCGTGGGCCTTGGGAGGGGATGTAGCAGCCAGAGAAATCCTTCAATAACGCCGAACCAGAAGGAAAGGCCCTGAGGAAGACAGTGGGGCTGGAGCCCAGAGAGGGAGCCTTCCCTCCCAGGAGGAGTAGGAGAGGAGGGGAGGCGGAAGAGAAAAAGGAGGAAGAGGAGGAGAAGGAGGGGACAGAGACAGCTGCCACAAGGGCTGAAAAGTGTGGGGGGGCATGCAAAATGCTGTTGATGAGGAGGTGGGACCTAGATGGCAGTCATACCTTGCAGGTGCCACACACCTGCCTTCCTGCCTCGAAGGAGTGGGGGGCACCCCTCCAGGGAACCCTCCTGCACATGCGTCTCCTAACTGGGCCAGGCCCTGCTCTTTCTGCTGCGCTGACCCCCACTCAACAAGTGCCTTTGAAAATTCCACCCAACACATAGGAGAGCCCTGAAGACGCTCTGGTCTCTGGCCAAATCACAGCCCACTGTGGGCAGTGCCCCCATAGTGTGTCAGAAGGTCCCCATGCAGTGACTGTGACCTCAACACACCCCACGTTAGGAATGTAGAGCGAAAGACACACTCACGAGGGCTCAGATAGTCCAAGTTCTTGCTTGTGGCATCTGAAAAAGTCTTATCCTGTTCCAAGGGTCACCAGCCAGTACAGATGATGCAAGAGTGGATGTCACAGCCAGCCCAGGTTTCCTAAGATAGCACGTGACAGCCCAGCCTGGAAATGCCTAGTTTTGCAACAAATTGCTTGAATTTCTTAAATCAATACTCAGTGAACTTTACTGGCTTAGCTTATCATGGGACAAAAATCTTCTCCCTTGGGCCTCTTTCATTAAAAAGATACAGCTGACTCACTGAAGGCAGGAAAGTCTCCTGGTCGGCCATGGCCTTCTGGGCTCCTTGCAGGGCAGAACCAACATCAGCTCTCGGTGTCCTTGTCTGTCTCCCTCCAGAGTTAACGAGTTTGGGCTTTTTAGAAAATGGTTCCGGTTCTGATGGAAAACTGAAGCACTTGGACGACGTCACAAACATAGTGCGGAGAGATGTGAGTACAGAAGCTGTGTTCTTGCCAGGCCAGTACAGGGGTGCCAGATTCCTGGAGACACTGTAGGGTTCAGGGCAGGAGGGAGAGGGAGAGTTGAGCCAGGCAGGGGGCAGGAGAGGCAGGAGGGGAAGGAGAGGAGCAGGGGTACACAGGAGAAGCCAAGTGTGGGGCTACCTGGGTGCACTCCACTGCTGGGGTCTCCTGGGTTCATGCCTGGGATGCCGGACCTGGCAAGTGAGCGCCCCAACTCAGTCGCTACCTACTAACCTAGTGCAGAGGGAGGGTGGCGGAGGAGGTTCATTCCATGACCCCTGCATAGCCCTCCGCCAGAGGTGGTCACTCCACCGAGCATCTTGGAGTTCAAGTGGCTGATTCCTAAGGTCTGTGCCGGCGCACTGCCCAGCAGTGGGGAATGGAGCCCAGTCTAACCTCTAAAGAAGATGCTGAGTCTAGAACCAAACAGCTGCCAATTACTTGAAAATGTCCTCCAAACTCTGCAGTGACTGATGGGGTCCTGGCCCTGTACTCTCCCTGCAGTGGAACCCTCTGCTCTGGAGGCTCCTCCCTGAAGACAGTGCTTCCTTCATGGGGCAGGCAGCCCACTAGCCACTGCCAATAAGTGCACTAAGCCTCTGCGGACAGATAGTCGGGGTGCAGGTCTTAGATCTAGCCCCCCGACCCCCTGCTTCCTCCCTGTCCACACACCCACCCAGGCCTTTCTTCCAGTGATCCAGTCCGGGCCACAAAGTCCCACCTGCACACCTGAAGTCAGATACAGTGTCTGGCGAGGGCACTCAGTGAAGCACGAGGAGTTGGGGCTCAGTATAGGATTCAGCCAGCGGACAAGTGAGCCAGGGATGTCTGAGAAGCAGGGGTCTGTTCTGGACCGGGATCCCATATTGGGGCACCTTGCAAACTTTTATTTACCAGAATGACATGGAGTGACAGTGGTTATGGTTGATGAAGCAGTGACCCTCCTGTCAACCCAAGAGGAGCCTTGGGCCACTCATCCATGTGGAGGCAGGGTTGTGGCTGTTTCTTTTCTTTTCTTTTCTTTGTGGTGCTGGGGTTTGAACTCAGGTCCTCACACTTGCTAGGCAGGCACTCTACCACTTGAGCCACTCCATCAAGACAGGGTCTCGAGAACTATTTGCTGGGGGCAGGTTTGGAACCTCAGTCCTCCTGATCTCTGCCTCCTGAGTAGCCATCAGCACCCAGCTGGTGGTTTTGTCTTCTCCCCACTCAGCCGGGGAGTGACCCCATCTGCTTATGGATTTAAATGCGGATTGTTTATGTCATGCAGGAAATGTCTGCCCTCCGCGGCTGCTCCCAGCTGCCGGCTCTCTGCAGTTCCCCGTACACACACAGACTGCTTTGGGGTGGCCCAGCAGAGGCTGACAATGGCTCTGCCTGGAGGAGGGGGCAGGGCCTTGGGACTCAGGGTCTCTGCGTGGGGTCTGCATCTCCCCTCACTTGGGGAGAGGAACAGCATGCCTCTGACTCTTGCTGATCACCAGGGAGGAACACTCGGCTCTCAGCCAGCACCCTCCCATTACAATCACAGTGACTGTGTGCCTATGTCCCCTAGGTGGAGGAGTGGGGCCCCTTCGATCTCCTGTACGGCTCGACACACCCCCTAGGCCATACCTGTGACCGTTCTCCTGGTAAGAGATGCTTCAAGACACAGGCTGCCATTGGCTCCAGTCACCCAGGAGATCTCCCCAACCCTGTGCCTCTACACCTTTCCTCTCCCCCCACGCCCCCATGCCACCCCAGCTCCTCAGGCAAGGCAGAAACTGCATTTGAAAGCTAGCGTCCTCCACTAGCTGCCACCTGTGTGGGACAAATTGCACGTTTGGTATGCTCAGTTTGTGAGTTGTGACTTAAGTGGACACCCACACACTCATCACCATGACATAGAGTGAAGGTGCCGTCACCCCCAAAGGCTTCCTCTTGCCCCTCCCTGCTCTCCCTCCACCCCCAACAACTCCTGCTCTGTGCTGTGCCAGTGGCTTGCTCTTCTGGAGCTTTATCCAAAAGGCTCCACTGACCACATGGCCATCCTGCCGTTGTGCCCTCCCTGTAGGTCTTCATTGTAACTGCTGTGGTCCCTGCTGAACACCAGGCCTCTCCCGTGAGGCTGGGGTCTGTGGCCCTGTCACAGTAAACCCTGGGCCCCAAGGGCTCATTGCTCCTGACGGGACAGCATTGTGATGGGGAGGAGGATGCCCCCTGCCCAGCCCCCTTCCCCCTCCCCTCCCGTCCCTCAGCCCTGCCCTCATGCCCAGGCCTCTGATCCACCTGATCCGGCCCCACTGCACGGCAGGCTGGTACATGTTCCAGTTCCACCGGCTGCTGCAGTACGCACGGCCCCGGCTGGGCAGCCAGCAACCCTTCTTCTGGATGTTCGTGGATAACCTGCTGCTGACCCAGGATGACCAGGCCACAGCAACACGCTTCTTTGAGGTGCGTGTAGGGCTGGAGGGCCTCTTCTGGCCCACATCTCCCAGTGAGATCTCGGGGTCCTGGGGAGGGGCTCAGCTTGCTCCTAGACTCTAGGACTCCTCCCTTGAGGTCTCGGCTGGCCAGGGCCCTAAGGTCGAAGTGTACCTGCGGTACCAACTGTGTGATCTCTCAACACACAGGCTCCTTCAGGGACAGCCTCAGAGGGTGATCCCATGTCACACCACTCCTGTACGCTCAGGTCACAGCCACGGCCTTGCCTCCTTCCCATGGATCTGTGCTGGCCTTAAGTGTAGCCAGTTCGGGGCTCAGGGGCTGATTCTGCCCAGGGCTGACTTGGGCTGGGTCTTCTAGGAACATCCTTAGGGGTTAAGCACAATCAAGTCGTGGCCACAGGACATGAGAGAACAAGGCTGGGAGGGAAGAAGTTTACCGTGTCCATGGGTCGCAAAAGGGGCGCAAGGGAGGAGAGGGACTCGATCAACCCTGGCAGTAGGAGAGTTATACAGCAAGCCGAGCAATCAGGTGCTCAGCGTGGGTGTTGTTGAGGGATTTCATCTGGTCTCAGGGTGGGCTGGTGATATGGTCACTCCAGAAGTAAGATTTCTGGGTCTAAGAGTAAATGGACCTGTGGTTCTCTCAAACGTCACCATCTATCCCCTGGGGGACTGGCTGCTGCCCACATCTCCACAGCCATGGACTAAGAGTGACCATCGTAGTGTGCGTGAGCAGTCTCATCCAGTTCTGGGTCCGTGTCCCCCCAAGGGCATCCTTTCTGCTCTCCCTCCTGTGCTATGTGGGCTTCTCCGTGTGATTGGTTTTGATTTGTGTCTGTAGAACACATTAGTTTGGCTCCTGCAATGACAGCTGAGTTGTGAGACTTTCTATTTAATCAGTTCTTCAGCCAACGGTTGTTTTCCTTATGATTTTATGCCTGCAATGTCTTTCTCTTGTCCCATGGAGTTAGCAGTACTCGTGGGACAGTGTGGGGTCACAGCAGCAAGGGGGACATCCTGTCTTGCTCCATTTTCATGTTTCTAGGGTCTCCCTCATCTGCAGATTCTGGCTTTGAAACTGCTGTTGACATAGTTCATTATGTTGAGGAAGTTCCCATTGATTGCTGCTTTTAGTATTTTTATCAACCATGGCTTTCAGTTTGTTGGATTTTGTTCAAGTGTTTTTTTTGGTGAGACAGGGATTTGAACTCAGGGCTTTACACTTGCAAAGCAGGCACTCTACTTCTTGAGCTACACTTATATTCCATTTTGCTTGGTTATTTTGGAGACAGAGTCTTGTGAACTATTTGCCCGGGCTGTCCTTGAACCAAGATCCTCCTGATTTTAGCCTCACAAGAACCTAGGATTAGGGCATGAGCCACCATCACCAGCTCAAGTGTTCTTTTTAATGTCTATGGAGATAATTTACATAATTTCCCTCTTTAGATCTATTAATATGATATAATATACAAATAGTTTTTCTTGTAATGAATGGTCCTTGCATTCCTGGGGTATCCACCTGGTCATGGTGCTTTGTTTTACTCTATGGAACATCATTTCATTGAGGATTTTTTGAGATGACAAATGCAAAAGGTATTGGCTTTCAGTTTTCTTTTTTGTGGGATTGTTGTCAGATTTTGGTTTCCGTGTTGAACTTGCTTCATGAAAGTATCTGAAAAGCTTGATAGAACTCTGTGAAACTGTACTGCTTGTTGCTGCTGCTGTAAAATCTATGGAGCCCCACCTGCTAAGATTCTATCTTTCTGAGTGAGTTTTGGTAAATTAAGCTTTCCTACGATATAATCCATTTCTCTGTAGTTTTTTAAATTATTTTTACCGAGCTAAGCAAAGAGGCTCCATGGCTCTCTTACTTTCTTCTTTTTGGTTTTGTTTTTTGTTTCTGTTTTTGTTTTGCAATACTGGGGTTTGAACTCAGGGCCTACACCTTGAGTTCCAAGGGCTGTTCCACCAGCCCTTTTTTGTGATGGGTTTTTTTCAAGATAGGGTCTATTTGCCCAGGCTGGCTTCGAACCTCGATCCTCCTGATCTCTGCCTCCTGAGTAGCTGGGATTACAGGTGTGAACCAGCGGTGCCCGGATCTTACTTTCTTCTGTCTGTGGTTATTAGGAAATCTGGACTTTTTAAATACTGACATCATCATGCCACTTACAGCAGCTGAGATCAGTTGGGAATCAGGGTTTTTTTGGAGGAGGGGCAGCACTGAGGTTTGAACTCCGGGTCTCATGCTTGTCAGGTAGGTGCTGTACCACTTGAGCCACTCCACCAGCCGTTTGTGTTGCGATGGGTTTTTTTCGAGATAGGGTCTTGCAAGCTATTTGCCCAGGCTGACTTCGAACCGTGATCCTCCTGCTCTCTGCCTCCTGAGTAGCTGAGCCACCGGTGCCCAGCTCTGGGTCAGGTTCATAAGTTGTACTGTTTATCAAAAACCTACTGCTGCAATAAGTAACTGTGGGTTCAAGTGAAAAACCTCACTCCCTAAGCCCTGTTCCATTTATGCACAGACAGAGAGGGCAGCAAAAATATTGATTTGTTACTATTTAGCACTTAGGTGTATAGGTCAAAATTAATTGCTCCCAAATCAGAAGTTAGCACCAAAAGGAAAGTCCTGGTGTTCTCCGTCTCTCTACTTTGCTGTTGGAGCCTCATTCCCACTGACAGTGAGAAAGCTGAGCGAGGCTTAACCTCAGCAGCATGCATGTGTCTCCCTGGCCTGCCCTGCGCTCCCCCGTCCCCCCACCAAAGGTGTCAAGACACAGGAGGTGGCGCCAGGGATACTTAACAGCAGGGGTTGGGTTGGGGCCTCTTGGCTCTGTTTCTCTTGCACATCTCTGTCCTGTCCTCAGTCCCCTCCCCAGCGAGGGGAGGTGGGTCTCCGACCTCTGTGCCCTCCTCCTCTTCTCCTTCCTGGGCTTCTGGAGAGACTGAGCCCAGCACAGGAGAGCCCGAGGCTCTTGCCAACCGCAGGGTGTGTGTGCAATCAAGCAGCAAAGCCTCCCCACTTCCGGGGAACTCTTCTGACTGTCAGAGAGTAGGACTTCTCCTTAATGGGAATCTGCTCTCACTGGAGGGGCCGATGCCCCATTTCTGTGGTGGGGGAATGGCTGGCCACAGGACCTGAGGGATAAAGAAGTGTACCGTTTAAATGGTTTAAAGTAACAAATCAGCTTTTTCCTTATAAGATGATCTGTAGGAAGAAGGTGTGGTGTGTAAGGAGTGCCACTTAGGTGCAGTCAACCTAGAAGTTTTGCCCACCATGTTCAGGCCCCCTGGGGCAGCGGGGAGGAGGTCACTGTCTGCATCACGCTGACTCACAGCCCACCTCCCCTCTGCAGATGGAGCCCGTGACCCTGCAGGACGTCCGTGGCAGGGTCCTCCATAACGCCGTACGTGTGTGGAGTAACATCCCAGCTGTGAAGAGGTATCTTCTGGGCAGATGAGGGCCTTGGGGCTGGGAGGGCCATTGACACAGCCCTGGATTCACCAAGGACACGGGGTCAGAGGACACAGGGTTTTGCCTGAGCAGCCCTGCACCTGCCAGGCTCATCCTGGGAAGAATACACAAAGCCCGGCACAGCCACCGGCCTCATGCTCCCGACTACATTCCTGTGGCCCCAGCCTTCCAAGGCTCCACCTTACACACACCCACCCCTGCAAACCCACACTCTCATTCACACACACACCTCATGTTCACTCACACGCTGATACACACATGACTCGCTTTCACAGTCACGCAACTCCCACACAGCCTGCACTCAGGTCGAACCAATAGGTTCCTACCTTTTCCTGCCTGAGAATGGGTTTCTGGAAACTTCTTCCTACCCACCTCAACAATTCCATCATTCTTCTGGCTCCCAGCCACTGCACAATCCCACAGCCTGGTGCCTGCCAGGTACTATGAGGTACCCCTCACCTGGCCACTCCCAGGATTTGTGTTTCTGTAGCACTAAGGTGAAGCACGTTCCAAAATGCTCTCTTTTTTTGAAAGCTTTGAAGGTCACTGCCCCTCCTGCATGCCACTTCCTCTCCCTGTGTGCTGCTGGCCATTTGTGGGCCAGCAGAACGGGGGGCGGGGCAGTGGGGCTGGGACATGGCACTAGCCGCAAGAGGAGCCAGCTCCCCCTCCTGCCAGCCGCTGGCCTGGCAGGTGCGTTGACCTCTACTCAGGAGTGGAGTAGGAAAACACTTTAGAAGTATTTGTGTGGCAGGTACAGCCTGACCCGCCTACACAAATCTGCTGTGTAAAGGGCACCTGCCCTCCACATCTCATGCTGTCCCCCCTAGTGGCACCTGCTAGGTTTAAGCCTTGGGACTGGCAGCTCCCTCCGCCCATTCTGAATGAGACACCCCTTAGGACTTCACTGTCAGCTTGCAGCCCCTTGGGTGGTTGAGCTGGGTACACCTGGGCTGTGTTCCTGGGTTCCCCTGGTTCCTGAAGGGAGCCAGAAGCTGTCTTCCCTCCCAGACTCAGGGTGTCTAAGTAGTGAGGTGAGAGACACATACTCAGTGAGTAGAAAGCACTTTGTGAAGACTGGACAGCTGCCTCTGGGTGGCCACTGGCATCCCTGTGACAGTGGAGATAACCCCTAAACCCCTAGGGAGGGATGCAGGGGGAGTTTGGGGGGCGGTGCGGGTCTGGCACCTCATCCGTGGCCTTCACCAACCCCAAAGTAAAGCCAACAAGTGTTTCCCACCTCCTGGTGGGGTCTGGGCATATGAGAAGGGGGTGCTGGGTGCCACATTTCAAAGGCCTACCTCCCCACAAGGTCTCAAGTGGCAGGCTGAGGGTCCTTCTCCTCTCCCACCATTTTCTGCTGCCCAGAGCGGGGCTCACATGCTTCCAGCACAGGGACCCTGATGCTCCACAGAGCATCTAAGTGCTAAGGATCCCTGGGAGCTCTCGGAGACTGACTGACCTTTGCCTCTGAGCCCTGTGCCCCAAGTGGGCCCCTACCTGGAATGATCAACTCCTGATGGCTCCTGAGTCTCCTTCTTCACACTGAAAGGAGACACACTAGGCTGGACCGAAGGTCTGGTCCTTTAGGATTCTGCCATCCCTGTCATCAGTCCTCCACCTGCTTCTGGCAGGACCAGCTCCTCCAGAGCTGGAGGCAGGAGTGTGGCAGAGGTATCCTGTCCATTGCTTTGAGGATTCAAGGAAGTGGACAGGGCCTTCTGGGGGCATTTATCCTAGACACCCGGACAGTCAGACCCCTTCACGCCACAGGGGCTGGGAACCCCTCCAGCCCACTGGAGCATGGGGTGCTGAGTTTGTAACGAGCAACTCTCTCCTTGGCAGCAAACATGAGGCTCTGGACCCTGAAGAGGAACTGTCACTGCTGTCCCAAGCCACACAGAAAGCAAAGCTGGCCACCCAGAGACCGGCCACACTTGTGAAGAACTGCTTTCTTCCACTAAGAGAATATTTCAAGTATTTTTCTCAGAATTCAGTTCCTCTTTACAAATGAGTCATAACCATGACAAAAAAGATTTCTTAGAACAGTAACAACTTCCCTCGTATTGTCTTTTTCCCTCTTCGGATTATTATTTTATTTGCTTTCCTGACGTTGGATTTTTCATGGGGCTACAGACTCATCTCCTGTTCGGTTCCCATGATACAGGAGTCCTCCAAGTCTCAGGTGAAGCACCCTGCTGCAAAATCTCAATGTGACAGCACATGTTGTATTTCCTGAGAGCATTTCTGTGTTCCTGTTGCGAAGTTTGGAATATATTTATTGTAAGAGGTGATTAGTCACGTTTTGGTGTCTTACGTGTAAGCACCGCCTTTACTGTGTAGAGCACCGGGCAAGTGGCAAGACATTTCTGGAGGCTTCAGCACATGTTCTATCCAGGCTCCATCCGAGCACATGGTTGGCACCTTTGCTACCTGACTGCTATTGGTTTTGATGGTTAAACCCACTCATCTTCATGACAGCTGCATGAAGTACCCAAAGCACAGCAAAGTACAGAACGTCACACTTGGTGAGCAAACCATGTAGCCTTTTGGTCCTAACAGAGGGAATTGCTTTCAGAAGCCAGGTTCCCAGAGGCAATTCAAATTCGAGAAGACAAAGCCACCAGACAGCATGGCCTGGGTAGCTTTTCATCACAGGTGGGGCATCCACAGGGCTCTTTCTCGATGAGCCAGCTCACCACCACCACCGTGGCCCCCCACACTCAGGGTAATTAATCAGATTCAAGGTAATGCACATGCAGACTTCCTGTCTTGGTTTGAGAGAAAACATTTCTGTGTTTTTAAGGCACCAAGGGTGTGGTGGCTAGCTGTGGCAGCAGCAGGGGGAAAGATCAGCTTTCTCCAACCAAGAATTAGGCCTCACTCATGGACCGGGGACTGTGACCTCCAGTATATGAAGGTCAAGGTGCCCTGTCAGAGGGCCTGCCAGTCTCTAAGCAGACAGGTGGACACTTTTCAATTCTGTATCTTCCATGTCTTCTTAGAGAGAGTTGCACAAGTACATTTCTTCTCTGGTTCTTCACATGCACAGCACCTGAGAGACAGTCATGGTCAAGGGAAACCTAATTCTTCCCTCAGCTACAGGGCATATCCTAAGGAGTGTTCTAGTTCCTCATTTGGCAGTACTGGAGTTTGAACTCAGGGCCTCACACTTGCTAGACAGGCACTCTTACCTCTTGAGTCACTCCCTCAGCCCTATTTCCTCATTGGTATTAAAATCCTGGTGATAGGGCAAGCCTGTAATCCCAGCACTTGGGAGGCTGAGGCAGGAAGATCTGGAATTCAAGGCCAGCCTGGATTATGTAGGAAGACCCTGATTCAGAAAAAGTCCTAGGTGTTTGCAACCCATGAACTGGTGTGGTGCCTGTTAACTCATAAGCACACTATCTTATGAGCATTACCTTAATCACCACCCCATGAGGAAGGTGTGACTACCTCCACTTTACGGGTGGGGGAAACTCAGGCAAGGAGGGGCACACAGCTCCCATAGAGCCCACCTCAGATTTGAATCCAGCCATTTGGTGCCCCTGCTCACAGGTGCCCCTCCCCTGCAGCTGCCCAGTCCTGCCCTATCCTTCCCTTCTAGCCTGGCTGCAGTACAGGACACCACTTCCCTGCTGTGCCCACCCACTCAGACTCTCCATGCTAGAGTGGGCCTGACAGCAGCACAGGGCTCTCTGGGCTCTTTGAAGGGCTGTCCAGTAAGTAGAGCCCAGGCCTTTGCCCCCACCAACCACAGCGCTGCCATGTGAGTCCTTTCAACCACTGTCCCCCCACCACCATGGGACAGCACAGTGCCCTGGCCTGACATGAGGGGGGATCCAGGTGGACACCGGGGTGTGGGGGATGCAGTGCAGTGCATGTCCTTGGGCCTGTCCAATCAGAGAGAGGCAGGATTGGCATGGGGCGGTGGGGGAGGGCCTGGCCTGGGAAGGAAGTCCTGCTCCAGCACATCTGTCCTCCTCACCTGCCCAGTGATGCTAGGGTGACTCCCCAGTTCAGTCCTCTGCCAGCTGATGGCAAACCAGGGGAAGAGAAGCCAAGTCCCCCAACATCAATGTCCCTCTGGCCACTCAGCATGAGCCATGGACCCTGTCTTGGACCCTGAAAAGGTATCAGCGGCCGTATTCAAGCCTCATCAGACATTCCCTGGTTTCTGGAGCGGAATGCGCCATAAAGGAGAGCCCTCTTGAACTTGACTTTTGCCTGCCCTCTGCTCCCACAGGCCAGGCCTAACTTTGCCTCTAGGTCATATTTCCTGCCCGCAGGTGTGGACTGTCTGCTCTCACTGGACCGTGAGATCCTCTGACCCCTGCTCTTCCAGCTAACAGGGAAGGTGTCCTCATCTTTCCCAGCCTGGGGGCTTGGAGCTACAGCATGGCTCCCTCCCTGCTCACCACCTCCCATTCAACCTCGTTTTTTATTTTATTTTTGGCCATGTTGGCTTAATCTCAGGGCTTCATGCTCGCTGGCAAAGCACTTTACCACTGGAGCCAGATCCCTCAGCCTTTGCTTTTAGTTTGGTTTTTGAAGAGCCTCAAGTTTTTGGCTGGGCCACTCCACCAGCCCTTTTTTGTGTTGGTTTTTTTTCAAGATAGGGTCTCGAAAACTATTTGCCTGGCTTCGAACCTTGATCCTCCTGATCTCTGCCTTCTGAGTAGCCAGGATTACAGGCTGGAGCCACCAGTGCCTGGCTCTACCTCCACCCTCTTGCTCCCACCTCTTTGGAGGCTGTGCCTGCTGTCCAGTGAGTGTGTATGTGTGTCTGTGTGTGTGTGTAGTGGGGGAGCAGATGGTGACGGGACACACACTTCCACCTGCTCACAGGGGACCACAGTCTCCAGATTGGACCTGAGGTGGCAGTGGGGTGCCACTTTGTTCTCACCCAGGCCTTCTAGGGCGGGATCTACCTCTCCACCTCCGCACCTCATCAGCACCTACCTGGGGAGAAGGAAGGTGCACTGCGTCAGTGGAGAGGAGAGCCTAGACAGCAGGGTGGGGTGGGATAAAGAGAGCCAGCAACCTTTGACCCAGGCCAAGGGTTCCACACAGCCTGACAGGTGCCAGAGAACACTTGGTCAGGAACCCAAGGGCCAACTCACTGGCTTTTCTTCCTTTCTCTTTCTTTTCTCTCCTCTCTCTCTCCTCTCTCTCCTCTCTTCTTTCTCTCTCTCTCCTCTCTTTCACTCTCCTCTCCTCTCTCTCTCTCTCTCCCCTCTCTCTCCTCTCTGCTCTCTCTCTCCTCTCTCCCCTCTCTGTCTCCTCTCCTCTCTGTCTCTGTCTCTCTCTCCTCTCTCCCCTCTCTGTCTCCTCTCCTCTCTCTGTCTGTCTCTCTCTCTGTCTCTCTCTCTCCTCTCTCCCTTCTCTGTCTCCTCTCCTCTCTCTGTCTCTCTGTCTCTGTCTCTCTCTCTCTCGACAGTACTGGGGTGTTTTGTATTTGTTTTTAGCGGTACTGGGGTTTGAACTCTGGGCCACATGCTCCCCCCAGCCCCCTTCCGTTTCCAAACCCTGCAAGGGGTAGGAGCCGCTAGCCGGCCGGCGGTCGGGGAGGGATGGGGCTGGACCTAGGCTTGAGCAGCTTCCGTCCTCTCCTTCCCTCGCTCTCGCTCATTCATTCCCGGACGGTCTTAGGACCCCGTTCCAGTTCCCAGAGCGGGAGGGAGCCTGACGCCAGCTCCAGTCTCATCCTGACCCGGCCTCATCCAGGGAAGGCAGGACCCAGCACTGGGCACCGGGGAAGGGCTCAGCGGCCAAGCCCGGGACGTCCTGGCAGCACCACGTCCACGTCTCCGTCCCTCCCCGCCACCCCCTCCAGAGGCGCCGCCCTTGCCGGGACTTCCCCGGGGGCCGACCGCGCGGGTGTAGGTGTATCCCCGCCCCGCGCACCGGCGGATCCAGGCCCTGCCCAGGGTCGGGCTGGCCGACTGGCACCAGTCTGGGAAGGGCTTAGCTTTCTGGAGCCCGAGTGAGTCCTTCTGCTCGCGGCTCCCCGCCTCCGCCCTCCCCGCCTCCGCCCCGGGGGCGGTCACCGGAGGACGGGCCGAGGGCGGGGACCCGGCTGCACCCTGCCGGCTGCGCGCGGGGCGCTCAGAATCCGGAGCGCACTCAGAGCCCGCGGTCTCCGGCAGCCCCTGATCACCGTTGCCCGAGGTCCCCACGCTCCGAGGTCCCCGCGGCCCGTGGTCCCCGCGCTCCGAGGTCTCGGTGGCCCGAGGTCCCCGCGGCCTCGGCTCTCGCGCCCACCATGCTACTGAGAAGGTGAGCCGGCCTGTGGACGCGCCTTGCGGGTGCGGGGGGAAGAACGCAGACACCGTGATCTCAGGACAGGGGAGTCCCCGCCCGAAGTGAGGCCGAGAGTGTCCCATGGCGGAGGCCGCCGGCCAGATCCCGCGTGTCCCCAGCTCCCCGCGGCGGCCCACCTGGATGCGCAAAGGCGGGAAGTGCGCGGTCACCAGCCGCCCGGGCGTGAACGGCAGGGGGCGGCTCGGGGCCGGTCCCCCGGCTCCCGCGGATCCGGCGATACATGGGCGTACTTGGGGGCGGGTCCCGCAGGAGGAAGGGAAAGAGCGCCGGCTGGAAGCAAAATCCATACACACCCACACTATGGGCACCGGCCGCCGCCCTTCTCCCCCTACCCTGCTGATTTCCCATAAGAAAGGATGTGATCGGGTTTGTGGCCTGTTACACCTCAAAGGCCAGCTGGTGCCTGCTGCTTGTGACAAGGCTTCTACTTGGGGCTCCCCTCCACTCCCTCAGCAGACTCAAACTGGGCAAGGGGTTGCTGCTTGGAGGGATGATGGGGCCTGTGTGTCTGTGTGTGTGTGTGTGTGTGTGTGTGTGTGTGTGAAAGCTTTGCATCCTGCCTTTTTGCCAAAATACCTTCTTCAGGCACTTGCATCTGTGTCCCCCTTGGTGACCTGGCTAGGGCCTCTGTCCCCAGGTGTCCCACCCACATAGTCCCCCAGGAGAAAGGACAGGACAGCCTGCAGGCTGCAGGGTCCCTGCTGACCAGTGGCTGGTTTGGTTTGTGTGTGGATCCCTTGGCCTGGAGCAGACTCAGGTGTGACCCATCCCCAGTGGGCAGGGATTCCTGTAGCTCCCTGTGAGGTCCCCTGAGACACTTCCCTGGAGGTTTCCCAGGCAGTGGCTGGGGGAGGAGGATGAGGGTCTCCCAGATGTGGGAGGTCCAGATACATCAGAAGAGCGAGGCACACAGGCCCATTCCAGGATGGAGGGAATTGGCTCCAGAAACAGGTGGTTTGGAGGTCTGGTGTAACCACTGTGACATAAGTGGCCCTGGCAGATATCAATGCCTCTCCCTGCCCACTGGGAGGCATCTTGGGTGATCTCCTACTGTAGAAGCATGTGGTGAGCTGTGCCAGGCACAGAGGCTCCCTGGCTGAAGATTCAAGGAGACTTGGAAGCTGTGGGAGGGACCCAAGCTGCTGGAGGATCTGAAACCTGAGGACCTGGGGACCCAGCAGATTTGGTTTTGGAATGATTCTTTTCCTCACCCGACACTGCTTCCTGTTGGGCCATCCAGCTGTTCTCTGTCTCCCTACATTTCAGATGCAGCTCTGCTGCATGGCCCTGAATGCATCTTCTCTCCAATTTCCTACAGTCTCTTGGACTCCATCCCCAGGGAGGCCACGCCACTGGGGGTCAGAGACCTTGGCCTTGTCAGTGGCTCTTGCCACCCTTTCTAATCAGTTTCCCAGGGGTTCTGGGAATTGCCAGGGCAGGGAATCAGCTCCCTGTGCTGGCTCAGCTCCTGAGTTTTCTGGAGAACGGGCCAAGGGGCTGCCTGGAAGGGGCGAATTCACCTTTGTGAATTCTGTCTCCTGGCCCTGGGGACCAGGCTCCTTCAGTCTGGAAGAAGCAGGTAAAGACTGAAGCAGGTAACTCACCTGTGCTCCTCTCATCTGCCTTTGTTTGGTTTTTTTTCTTTTTTCCAGTCCTGGCCTGCTCTTACTGCTGCTCAGTGGCCTGCGAGCTGGTAAGTTTGGGGTGCTTTACACTGGGGCAAGTCAGCACCCAACTCAGAGCTGAGCTTCCAACCCCCTTAGTTGCCACGCTGTGAGAGCCACAGACACAGGGCATTAGGAGTGGCCTTGCCAAAGTCTTTCCCAGAGGTCGTTTTGAGAAAGCTGGGCCCCCACACCTAGGTTAATGTGCAGAGTTGAAGGTCACAACAGGGAGCGCTTTCCCAAGATCTATAGGTCTTGCTTAATTTCATGCTTGGGGTGGGTAGAGTGTAGGTGTCTGAGCTGGGAATTTCCTGGCTGTTCTGGTCTCTCTTGGCCCCAGCCAGCCCCATAGAGCTCTAAAAGTCACCAGATTTGGGAAGAGGCAGGAACAGGAATAGGGCAAGACTTGAGGCCTGGCTGATCCTTCCAGCCCGAAGAGTACTGGAGTTAGGGGTCATGCATTTCTCCCTGACCACAATTATGTGGTTGTACCAAAAGTAAAAACCATCTGTATATGTTACATGACCTTCTCTCATGAGTACAAAAGGCATTAGAACATTGTTGAAACATTGTTTTCCCTTAAATGCCTGAATTTTAAAGCCTTTTTTAAAATTTTGCATTAATTATAGACTTCCAAGTAGCCAACATAGCGCAGAGCAGCCCGGGTCTCCCTCCCCGCCCCCACTCGCCCAGTGTAGTCCTCTCTGTATGAGCAGCGCATTGTCAAAGCCACTGACATTAGAAACTGCAGAGCAGTGCGTGGCTTGCCATTGAGCGCGTGAGCCGTCCAGGACTCTCACCCTCTGGTGTATCTTATTAATAAACTCCTTTTCTGCTAACGAGTCAAGGGTTGGTGTTTGAGTCTTAAAACCCAGAAGTCTGGGTAACTTCATGGGCTACAGGTCAACCTTGGAAAATAAACTGTATCCTTTTTGAATTATGGCAGCTACTCAAGAAAAAGAAGTCAGAGCGATGGTAGGCAGCACCGTTGAGCTCAAATGCATCTACCCCGAAGAAAACAGTTTTGATTTAAATGACCTGTATGTCTATTGGCAAATCAGTGGGTCAAACACCGTTGTGACTTACTACCTTCCCAAGAACAGCTCTGCAGGCCACGAGAACAACCACTACAAGAACCGGGCCCACCTGTCGCTGGACAGCATGAAGCAGGGGGACTTCTCTCTGAGCCTGCAAAATGTTACGCCCCAGGATGCCCAGAAGTTCAACTGCCTGGTGTTTAGGGAATCCTTGCAGTTAGGGAAGATTCTGGAAATGGAGGTCAGCCTGCACGTGGCAGGTAAGACCATCGAAGCAGAGAGAAGTGATTTGAGAATGTATGAAGGGACCCCTCTCTCTGGCCCATTTGCTTAGTAAAGAAAAGCCTGCCATTGTCGTGGGCCTCTAATTACCTGTGAGACAGAACAGGACAAAGTTCACCCAGCTCGTGGGACACTTCTGTCACCTGGCTTCACGGAACCCATCTTGCTTGTCTTCTCCTTGAACTCTACAGCTCAACCCAAAGTGAATTTGGAGAGGGTGCTGGGTGGGACGTACCAAACGAGATCGGGGTGTAAAGGGATATCCTACATCCCAGGCTCAGGGTGCAGTGCAGCAGGAGTGGGATGTGCCACCAGTGAGGAGGACTAGATTCGGACGGGAGTGCTGTCACTGTCTGCCAGACTCAGTAGCTCCTATTGGGGGTGTCTGGGAGTTGGGCTCTGGCATCACAGTCCTCGCTGGCTGCTCTGACCACCACCCACTTCTCTCCCATGCAGCTAACTACAGCCTGCCAGTCATCAGCACCCCCAGCAGTGAGTCCAGAGACCCGGAGCTTACCTTTACCTGCAGGTCCACGAATGGCTATCCGAGGCCCAATGTGTACTGGATCAACGAGACGGACAACAGCCCGCTGGACAAGGCTCTGCAGAACGACACGGTCTCTTTGAACTCACAAGGCTTGTACGATGTGGTCAGTATCCTGAGGATCCCATGGACCCCCAACATGAATGTCGGCTGTTGTGTAGAGAACGTGCTTCTGCACCAGAACCTCACTGGCAGGAGCCAGACAGGTGAGGCCTTGGGAGTGGGGGGCTTTGGAAACTTGAAGAAACTCTCAGGCAGCACCCAGAGTCCCCCCAAACTGTCTCGCCATCAGAAAGGTGGTTGAATGGGAGCGGGGAGGTGAGAGTCAGGCAGAGTGGCCATGAGAGAGCCCTCAGCTTCTGAGGGCAAGAATGGGGCTCTTGCCCAGGACACCTGCCATCAGTGTGGTGTTCACTTGCAGAATCAGGTTTGCTGAGTCCATTTTACTGATGAGGACTGAGGCGCTGAGGGCTGTGTTGCATCTCAGAAGCCACAGAAGGTCAGGATGGAGGCCCACACCTGTGGAACCCCCAGGCTCTCTGTCTCTGGACATGTGGCTCTGAGAAAACTGAGGCCCACCTGGAGAATCCAGTGGGGCCCGGCTGCTGACCAGGTCCTCTGAGGGACAGGTGCAGACCCGGCTTTTCCTAGAGGTCATAGACTCTCCCAGTCTCTCTCTGTCACCAGTGTAAGATGAGAAGCAAAAGGTTGAGGCAGGAAGTGCTCCACAATGTGGTGGGGGGTGGTCTGTAGGCCCTGAGGACTGCAGCAAAGGCAGTACTGGCAGGATCCACTACGTAAGCTGCAGGGCTTCATGTGAAACAGAAATGTGGGTGTCTTGTTCAGAAATGACTGAGAATTTGAGATGGTGGGCAGCATGTCACACCGAGTACAAGTCTTTCTGCGCTTGGTGCCCATGAAACCACATAGGTAGCCCACCTGAGAAGTGGCTCCAACCGTCAGGATCACCGACAGGGCAGGACCCCCTCATTCCTGAAATCAGGAATTCAGTATTTGTGATCTCAGAGGCTGCATGGACCAAGATGAGGGCTGCACCAGAACAATCTCAGGGCTGCCTGCCAGCCAGTGTTCTTCCTGGCAAAGCCGCCCAGCACCTTCTGCCTTGGAAGGTGGAACTCTATCTAGGGTCTCCCAGGGCCATGTCACAACCCTGGCTGCATAGCGTGATCCCTGGGGCAGTCTGTGAAGACCCACACTGAGACTCACTGGATCAGAACCTTCTGGATGACTCTAAGGCGAGTTCAAGGCTGACTCCATGGAGGTGATGGTCTTCAGGTGCATCTGGAGAGGGCATTTGTACCAAGCTCCCCAGGGATGGGCTGGTCTGCCTATGAGAACCACTGAGGACAAAGACATGAAACAGCAGGGTTTGGAACCTTTGTGCATTGCTGGGGAAAAGGCAGAATGGTGCCACTGCTGTGGAAATAGTCTGGTGCTCTTCAAAGTGCTAAGTTACAGTATGGGCCAGCAATTTCTCTCCTACAGATGCTCCCCAATACCCAGTACCTCAAGCCAGCACCTGTGAATGTCCACGGGTCAGTGATTCCCAGGAGCCAGAGAAAACATGCCAAGTGCTTACCACCGATGCGTGGATTCCACACTGTGCACTTAATTCAGCCATAAAAGGGAAGGAAGCTCTGGCTTGTGTTGCAACATGAGTGAACTCTAAAGATGTCATGCCGAGTGACCAAAGTCAGTCACCAGAGACCAGATGTCCAATTCCATTCATGGGACGTGTCCAGAAGAGACAATCATAGGGACAGAATGTAGGTTAGAGGATGCCAGGAGTTGGACACAAGGAGAGCGGGAGCTGACTGAGCTGGATACCGGTTTCCTTTTGGGATCCAGGAGAACCTGCATTTCCCACCACTGCCTTCATGGGCCTGTAAGATGAGCCCTCAACTCATCAGCAGGGTATTTTAGAAATCACAGTGATGTCAGTGTGGTTCTTTGGGATAAGTACTTCCCTCTGGGGTCCTCTTACTGATTGAAAAAACCTTCCCCTACAAGACTCTTAGTCTTGGGCCGTTTCTGTCTTTCTCACAGAACGTTCCAGTGGAACAGAGGGAAGAATCACAGAGACCCCAGACAGTCTCCAGAAGGAGGACAATGTGGTCATTTTCATCACCCTCGCTCTCCTGTTGGTGTCAGTGATAGTGGCTGTGGTCATCTATATGGGCAAAAGCAAATGTCCCCACAGAAACTACACAGGTACTCAGGAGACCTGGGTTGTAAGCATTTCATATTTTTTGTGCTGGCGTGAGCACTTTGCTTCTTAGGACTTCCTTCATTCTTCGAGATGTTGCTGTTGAGTGAAATTTAGGTGTTTTTTGTTTATTTGTTTGTTTTGGTGGGACTGGGATTTGAACTCAGGGTTTCATGCTTGCAAAGCAGGTACTCTATCACTTGAGCCACACTTGCAGTCCATTTTGCTCTGGTTGTTTTCAAGATGGAGACTCTCGAACTATTTGCCTGGGCTGGCCTCAAACCTTGATCCTCCCAATGTCAGCCCCTAAAGTAGCTAAGATTATAGGCGTGAGCCATGGACACCCACCTGAAATTTAGTTTTATAGTGACTATAGTTTTTAAATGTAACTTTATCTAGGTATGTATGTATGTATTTATTCATTGGCAGTACTCAGGGCCTCACACTTGCTAGGCAGACGCTTTACCACTTGAGCCACTCCACTAGCCCTGAAATTTAGTTTTAAAAACCATGAGTGTTAGCAACCGAACCGTCACAGCAAGTGGACTTGGAGCCTCCCCATCTCTTAGGCACCCTGCTCCCATGTGTTACCCTTGTGTTCCTGCTTTGTGGCTAAAACCACTTGCCCTAGAAACAACACCTTCCAAAGTCACACTGCTGATCTGGTCATGCTATGACACTCTTGTGTCTCAAAAGCAGGGTGGCCTGGGGAGCCCCTCATCTGTGATCCCATTTCCCATCCAGAGCAGGAGCAAGCAGGTGGGTGGAGATGCCTGGCAGAGGGAGGGGGCTGGGGTCTCTTAGAGCACCTGCCCTACTCTGCATGCCTCCCTGAACCTCTGGTTCCTCCTACAGGTGCCCAGGCTGCAACAGTGGTGTGTGAGCTCACAGGTAAGTTTGCCTCCCAGAGGAAGCAGGCTACCTGGGTGTGAGCTGGGCAGCATTGCTCAAAATCTTCAGTTGTTTGCCTGGTGATGCCAGAGACGTAGAGAAACCCAGTGACAAACGTGGCGTCCCACTGGCTGTGCCCTGTACACACTTCCTAATATTTCCTTTTGGAAATTTCTGAACAAATTCACAAGCCCCCAGGGGTCTAGGGCAGGTGCAAATCATACTTGCTTTTCTGCTGAAACAGCCATTGCCTTGACTTAGTTGGCCCCAGGCCCTGGGTGGAGCTGCGCACCCCAGTCTCCAGAGCAACAGCAGATACTGATTCCCATCCCAGCTTGGGAAAAACATCCACACATGATGTCGCTGGTTGCCCATGGGAGGTGTCTCAGGATGCAAGGGGCGAGGGTCTTTGCCACCACAAGTAGTGACTGCTCCTCCCTGGGCGTGCAGTCCCCACAGTGTGGTGCTGGGTTATGTGACTGACTGCAGGAGACTCTTTCATGAGGTCATGCCAGTCAATTTCAGGTCACTTTGGAACACCACTTGCTGAAAAGCTAGGGCTGCCTATTATTAATGTTTATTTATTTTTTTGATGGGACTGGGCCTTGAGCTCAGGGCTTCGCACTCACAAAGAGGCATTCTGACACTTGAGCCAGACCTCCAGTCCGTTTTGCTCTGATTATTTTGGAGATGGGGGGGGTCTTATGAACTAATTACCTGGGATGGCCTCGAACTGCCATCCTCCAGGTCTCAGCCACCCAAGTAGCTAGGATTATAGGCGTGAACCACTTGGCTGCCTTTTCTTAACAGAACCAATGACTCCTGCTGGAGGGGGGGTTTAATTTCCAGACCTTCTGTCTTTGCCATTCTGGGCCCTGAGAAGAGGAATCTCTGCCACCAAAATGAAAAGTAGAGCTGGGATGTGGTTCAGTGGTAGAGTAATTGCCTAGCGGGCTTGAGGCCCTGGGTTCCATTCCCAGCACTACAAAAAAAAAAGGGGGGCTGGCGCTTCATGTTCCTTTCCCTTCTCCCAAGACCATACTTAACAGGAACTCTCTGCACAGGACGTGGATAGGACTTCTGTGAGATGCCATCAGCTGGACGTCAGATGCAGCTTGAGAATGGACTCTGATAGGCCCGATGGCAAAGGGGACAAAATGAGCTGTGTGCCACCAACCAGGACAAAAGCTGCAGGCT